CAAATTTTCTGTGGTGTATATTTATACATAATAATTTATCTGGACGATCGCGCCTGCGGTCAAAATTCCTCCGTGAAAAAACATCCAAACTTAAAACTATTCTTATATACAATACACATATTTATGTATTCTATATAAAAGCTCAAAAAATATTCTGTTGACAGTGAAATATGCAACAGCTATAATCATTAGCATTTTAAAACTGTCCCGGACTTGGATTTGGAAAAAAAGTAGAATGATTGCATCGACATAACTGATATCAAGAGATATTTTTATTTTTCTCAATACCGAAAAGGAAAAAAATCGAATTTGGATTTTAAAATAGGTTCAATTTTTTGGAGATTTCTTTCTTGAGAAATTAAATTTCCTATTACAGGGTTGCCACAAATATTTAATTTTATTTTTCCCTGATTTCCAGACAAAATTCTCACTTTTTCCCTGACCCTAAAGAATATTCTGATTCACTCTCAAAATTAATAGATATACTCAAAAAAATGTTCTATTACATTTATTTACAAATTTCATTAATTGTAAAATTATTCAAAAACATCAATAATTTCTTTTTTAAATAAATATTTAAATATTCTTTTTCCGTAGGAATTAAAATTCTTCAATACATTCAAATTCAAACCTTTTCGAAATTCAACAATTTATAAGAATATTATTACAAAACATAAAGAAGGCGATCACTCCGAGTTTTTGACTCGGAGTGATCGCCTTCTTCATGTTTTGTTATAATTTAAATTACCATGAAATTTTTCAAAAAAAATTTAATTATTTACAAAAATCCTAATAAAATCCTTCGCAAGAATTCCATTATTTTTAAAAATAGTAAATGTTCTCAAAAAAATTCAATTATTTGAAAAAATTGTAATAAAATTCGTTGCAATAATTTAATTATTTTCATAAATAATAAATCGATTATTCGGTAATTCACTTTTTAATCAATTTTTATTAGAAAATTCTAGAAGAATTCAATTATTTAAATTAAAAAATAAATAATTTATTGAATAATTGAATGTTTGTTAAAATTGAATTCTGATAAAGAATTTTATCGACAAATTTTTAAATAATTCAATTATTTTGACAAATTTTAATGAAATTTTTAAGAATAATTACATTTTTCGAGGAATTTGATTAAAATATTGTATCAAAAATTAATTAAAATCCTGCGATGAGTTTTATTAATTATGAAAATAATTAAAATTTTTCACAAAAATGTTATTAAAATTTTTCTAAAATAATTGAATTTCGGTGAAGAATTTTATTATTTATAAAAATAATTGAATTCTTGAAAAGAACTTTGTTAAATTTTTTTTTAAATAATTGAATTCCTGCGACCAATTTTATAAAAATCTTTTTAAATAATTGATATTTTTCGAAAATTTTTATGAAATTTTGTATATTAAATAATTGAACTCATGTGAAAATTTTATTATTTATGAAAATAATTGAATTATTTCAAAGAAATTTATTAAAAATTTTATAAATTATTGAATTCCTGTGAAATTTTAACAAGAATTTTATTCAAGTTTTTAAAAGTAATTGAATTTGGAGGAAAAATTTTATTATTTATAACTATAATTGAAATTTTGACGAGAATTTAAAAAAAAATTTTTAAAATAATTGAATATTAAAGAATTTTATTATTTATATAAAGATAATTGATTATGACAAGAATTTTTTTCAAATTTTTGAACATAATTGAATTTCTGCGAATAATTTTATTACTTTTGAAAATAATTTAATTCTTCCAACGAATTTTAATCAAGTTTATAAAAATAATTGAATTTCGGTGAAGAATTTTACTATTTCTAAAAATAATTGAATTCTTGAAAAGAACTTTGTTAAATTTTTTTTAAATAAATTTTTTTTTTTTAAATAATTGAATTCCTGCGACGAATTTTATAAAATTCTTTTTAAATAATTGATATTTTTCGAAAAAATTTTTGAAATTTTTTATATTAAATAATTGAATTCTGTGAAATTTTGCCAAGAATTTTATTAAAGTTTTTAAAAATAATTGAATTTCGAAAAATTGTATTATTTATAAAGATAATTGAAATTTTGACGAGAATACTTTAGAAATTTTTGAACATAATTGAATTTTGGAGAAGAATTATATTATTTTTAAAGATATAATTGAAATGACCAGAATTTTTTTTAATTTTTGAATATAATTGAATTTCTGCGAAAAATTTTATTAGTTTTAAAAATAATTGAAATTCTGGAATTATTTGTAACTTTTCCAAAATTCAATTTTTTTTAGTATTTTCAACTAAAATTCTTTTATCAATCTAGTATTTATGAAAATTGTAAAAATGATTCATTAAATAATTTATATGTCATAGTTTTATGATAGTTCTTGTAAAATTAAGTTATTTAAAAAGAAATTATTGTCTGAAATAGAAAAAATTCAAGGTTTTGTATTAACTAAATAATTATTATTAAATTAAATTAATTAAATTAATAATTTAATTTAATTTTAATTTAATTTAAAAAAAATTTTTTTTTTTAATTAATTAAATTATTATTATTAAATAATATTCAATATTTCTTTTAAATAATTCAATGAGGTAGAAATTTTCGAATTTTGTCCACATTGCAGAAGAATCACAAGAGAAGAATTTTTTCCAATAGAAATAATAATCTTTACTTTCGAGATTTTGCAAAAATTTATTTTGCTGATGAATTTTTCTAAAATAAAAAAAGGACTGTGAAGATATTACAAAAACTTGTTTGCAAATGATGAATTTTTTCAAAACGAACGATTCTAATCTAAAGAGAGAAAGTTTTTGGGAAAAATAATTCCTATCTGTTAAAATTAATATTTTAAATCTCGAGATTTTCGATTAGCGTAAAATAACAAATTACAATTAACAATTTTTTTCCTTGGAATTATACTAAATTGTGACGAGAGTTCTAATTATTGCAAATTTGTTATAGGTTAGATCCACTAGAATTTTTGCCACTTCAACATAATTCAATAAAGAATAAATAATTATATATTTACTGTAAAATCAAATCAGTATCATTAACAAGAAAATTAGTTATTTAATTACCAGCTCTTCTCATTTCTTTTTAGACGCAAAAAAAACACAAGTTATTCAATTGATCGAATTGATTCTCAATTTGACCAAAAACAGTTTTCATACCAAATATTTTTCATATTTATTATTAAAAATGCGAATAAATACTAAAGTTACTTTTAAATATGCGTAAATTTACCTTTCTTGAAAGAAACTGAAAGAAACAACAAAAGTTTTGCGTGTTTTGTTTCCACCGGTTGCAATTTATGATTTTTAGGTTAGGTCTGACATTTTCTTGAATATCTTTCACTTATAGAAATATTTTTTTAAATTTCATAGTTTAGACTCATATTCCAACTAGACTTTACGTAATTACATGGATTTCGTAATATTTTTTTGTATTTAACACTGTGATATTGGAAATATTCTTCAGATTAAAAGAAAACTTTTCTGACGTCAACAAACCGCCAAGTATAACAATGTTGCCAACTGGAAAAAAGAGCGTATTTCGCGAAAAAATTCTTGTTATAATTAAAATGAAATTTAAACCGTATTTTTTAGTGGATTACATTTATAAAACAATTATAATGCTAAATATTTACTTTCTTTTACCAATTTTTAAAAATATTTATCATAAATAAACGACTTCTAATCATTTTCCAGCGATTGGCAACATCGTTATTTTTTATGCGCACACTTACAGCGCAGAGGCGCGAAACAAATTTAAATTTAAAAAGCAATATTTGCAGAAAATAAAATATTTATCAAATAAAAAAATTGATTAACAATTATATTTTTCTATTTTTGATATTTTATTTATGGAAGATAATAGGATTTCATCAAAAAGTTCTCATTTTCATTTCCTTTTCTCAAATGCGAATAATAATACTATACGAATAATAATTGAAAAAAATGATTTAATATCTATTAGTATTTCATTAATATTAATTAATATTTAATATAATTGAGAATAATAAATATTAATGTAATTAATAATAATAATTTAATTATAATAAAAATAATTAATATTAATAATTAATAATTATTGAAATAATAATAATAATTATTATTATTAATTTATAGAAAAAAAATAATTATAATTTTTATTATTATTATTACTATTAAATAATTATTATTTATAGTGCACAAATTGTAATGAATAGTATAATTTTTAACTCTTAAAAACTCAAAAGAAAATAGAAAAAAAATATTTAGATGCACATGAGAGAAAGTGCCTTCGAGATCAAAGTGCTTGAAATTATTAATTAAATTCTCCAACTATTATGAAATTATTAAAATTTTATTTAACAACTAATTTACTTTAAAGCAACTACTTTATTTTATTATCCTATTAGTTATTTTTTTTACAATCAATATTTATTATATTTTACTTCGTACTTGAACTTTTGTATATCTTTATATTCGTAAAAAAAACAAAGCCATAGAAACGTGCGAGAAGCAAAAGATTTTTGCATTTTAATCTTTAGAAAAAAAAATTTTACGGGGTGGTCAACTGTTTCATAATCATTCGCACTGTTGACCCTTTGACAATTCTGTGAATGTGTTTAAGTTAAAATTTAAAATGTAAATTTTTTTTCTGAAATAAAAACAAAAGTTTACATTATTTCTATTTTTACTTTTTAGAATATAAAAAAAATCTTGCACGTTTTTAATTGAAAATTAGTTGAAATAATTTTTTTTCATTTGATCAATTGAATTTAATAGATTGATCTAAAATTTTGTTGAGCTTAAAATTTTATTTATTAATTTAAAAATTAATCTTAATTAATTAATCTCACAAAGTTTCGAATTTTATCCGAAAATTGAAAAATTGAATTGGTTGAGTCTTTTGGAATTTCAACAATTGTTTTTCGAATTTTTAAGTTAATTAATTTAAGAATAAAAATTTTTATTTTGTAAATTTATAAATCGATTAGTGGAAATAACAGAAAACAAAATTTTTTGTTACAGAATGAGGACAGTCAAGACGATGGCGGAGGATTTTATTGGGACCCACGAACTGTTAATAATCGGGAACCAGAAAGTCAAAAACAATCGCGATTACTTCAGGAGCAATTATCTCGAGCCTCCGTAAAAATTTCTGAATTGGAGACAGAATTGAAACGTCTACAAAATGTAAGAATTTTATTTTCAATTTATTTTTTATTTTCCTATTTTCAATTATTTATTTATTTGATTTTGTTTGTAATTTTCTAGGGAAATACTATGAATGGAACGAGTATAAAGGAAGAAATCGCTGAAGGCCATCAAAAGACGGAACTTCTTCGAGCAAAACAAGACTTGATGAATCGCATTATTCAAATGGGTGAAAAGGTACAAAAATTCTCAACAAATGGAATTCTATACAAGTTGCATTGTTTAAAATTTTTCAACAAACTTTTTACTTCATTTTTTCATATTATTATTTTTCTATTTTGTAAAAAATTATCCATTTAAATTAAAAATTAAAATTATTAAAATTATTAAAATTATTAAAATTATTAAAATTATCCAAAATAAAATTATTAAAAATAAAATTCAATTTAATGTAAATTGAATTACAATTAATTGAATTCAAATTAAATTAGAATTAAAATTCAACAAAAAAATGGAAAATAAATTGATTTCAAATTAAATTAGAATTAAAATTCAACAAAAATTGAAAATAAATTGAATTAAAATTAATTTACAATTCAAATTAATTAAACTAAAATTGAATTACAATTAAATTAAATTAAAATAAAATTTCTTCTTATTTTAAAAGTATTTGAATAAAATTGTCTTTTATTTTTCATTTTAGAGAGCAGAGAAAAATACGAGACGAAATGATGAAGCAGAAGTTGTGAAAGATTTTCAGAAAGCAATGTCTAAATTAAAATCGTCGGAGCAATTAGAATTGATTAAAAGTGCACTTCAGGCTCTTGAAAACGAAAACGAAAAATTGAAAGCGACCAAAAATGAAGAGAAAATTGACGTTCAAGAAAAATCGGTTAAATTAAATTCCGATGGATTCGAGGCTGTACCATTAATTGTCGGTTATGAGGAAAATTCAAATAATCGCCCAAAAATTGAGGAAACCCATTCGATGGATGAATTCAAAAAACGAGAATTTGAATTAAATAAAAAAATTCAGGAGTTACAAGACGAAAATCGAATTTTAAGTAACAGCGTCGATGAATTGGATCAACAACATTCAGAATCTATGGGTAAGATTTCAAATCGAATATTTTTCTTATTTTCTAATCAAAAAAGTTGTAAATTTTTAAATTAATAATTTAACTAACGATAATTTAATTTAACTAAAGATAATTTAATTTAACTAACAATAATTTAATTTAATTACTAATAATTCAATTAATAATAATTAAATTAAATTAATAACAATTTAAGTTTCGAATTTTAATTGCATAATTTTTTGCCATTCAGATAAAGTTTTGTCCTTAAAAGAGGAACTCCAAAAAAAGCACAAGTGCCTTCAAACTGCCTACGAACAGCTCTACGTGGATTACAATCAAATATCAAGTCAATGTGAAATTCTAAAATCTAAAAATGAAAATAATGATGATATTAATAGGGAAAAAATGCCAAAAATAAGTCTTGCCTTACAAACGGAACCCATAGCCGTCCAAGAAAATTCTGTTCAGGCCAATATAAACGATGAAACACTCATAATTATAACAAAAAAAGTGAAAAATATTCTCAAAAATATTTCCCTAACAGCACATGATGATGAAACAATATTTGAAGTTGTGGCAAAACAATATGTCGATATAAAATGGAAAAAGGATGTTTTAGAGAGAAAACTCACGGAATTAACGCGCGAATTAAAGCAAACTGAGGAAACAAAAGAATCATTACAATTAGAATGCGATGATATGCAATCAAACATTGATTCATTAATTATTGAAATTCAACATCTCAAGTCAAATTTACCATCGATACCGGAAGCGAGTGAGGAGCGTATCGCATCACTTGAAAATGAAACCGAAACACTTCAGGCCGAATTGAAAAAATACGAGGACGAAATTAAACATTTAAGACAGAAAAATGCCGATTTAACAACAGGTGGAAAAAAAGATGTTGAAAATACGCACAGAAATCATGGAAACTTTCAAACTGAACTCCAAACAATAAATGAACAACCTGAAAACGAACCACCAAGAGACGAAGGTAGATAAATGTTTCTATAAATATTTTCCTAATTTTTTAATTTTTTTCTTCTTACTAACATTGTAAATTGTTTTTTTTGCAGATGAAGAAAAACTGTTCCAAAAATTAGAATTATCCATGGCAAAGAACGATGAATTAAGAAAAAGAATCGAAATGCTCGAAAATGATCAAAGACAAACGCAAGAACAATTGAGAATGTCTTTGGAAAAATGCAAAGGACTCGACGAGAATATTGAACTAATTGAGGAATTAAAACTCGATCTCGACAATGTTAAACGTGAATTAAAATCATCAATATCACATTGTAAAATACTCGAGAATAATTTACAAGAAATGCAAAAAATGAAGGAAGAAATGGAAAATGATAATAAAATATTGTCACGTGAAATTGAAAGACTTCAATCTGATTTATCGATATTAAAAGAATCACAAGAGAAAAATGAGGATAATAATCTACTCAGTGATCTTCGTGATCAACTCTATAAAGTAAACAGCGATAAAGACGATTTAGAATACGATATTCTCAATATGAGAAAAGAACTCGACAACACGATAAATCAATTAGAATTCAAAGAGACCGAATTCGAGAATTTACAGCAACTTATCGATGAATTACAACAGGAAAATCGAAAAATACAAACAGAAAATGACAATTTAAAAAAGGAGACCAACACATTCGTGGAGCAATTAACATCCCTTCAAAATGAATCGAGTGAAAAAGTTGAATTACTAAATACTGAGAAATTTTTACTCGAACAGGAATATTCGACGTTGAAGGAAGAGACTGACAAGGAGAAACTTGAATTAATCGAAACAAGAAATAAATTAATAAACTCAGAGGAAAAAATATCCCTCCTGGAGAATTCACTCTCAAATTTGAAATTCGAAACACTTTCAAATAATGAAAATCAAAGCAAAACGAATGAGGTTACAAAAAAATTGGAAGAAGAACTAAGAATCGTTAATTTGGAAAAGGAAAATTTGTTCCTCGATCTAGAAGCAAAAATAGCGCAAATTCTCTCAAAGGAAGAAGAATTATCGACTCTACGTCAACAGTATTCGAAACTAGAAATCGAAGCTCAAAATTCCCAAGAGAAAAACGAAACGAATCAATTAAAAACCGAAATCGAGGAACTGAGTCAAAAATTAGAAAATTCTTTAGAAAAGAATAGAGAATCGTCAACGATGGCAAGGGAAACAATTGAAAGTTTATCGCAACTGATTCGCGACAAGGACAATGAAATTGAAAAATTAAAGAATCATCAAACAAACGAAATTGAAAATGAATTATCATCGATAAAAAATGAACGTGACGAATTAGTGAAACTCGTGCAAATAAAACATAACGAGAGTCTACAATATCACAGCGAAATTCAACGTTTAAATCAATTATTAAATGAGCAATTAATCAGTATTCATAAATTAATTGCCGAACGTGATTTCAATTTAGAAGGAATTAAAGAAAAGGAAACGGAAATTCTTTGGGCACAAAATGAACTTAAAGTTGTTAGGCAAAAATTGAAAGACATCGAAGAATCAAATGATGGGGAGAAATGTGGTATTGTTGAGCATTCCGTTCAAATAGCGCAAATGGCAATTTTCAGTGAAAAATGTAAAGCACTCGAGGCAGCATTAATTCAGGAGCAAAATAATAATCGTCTTCTTCAAAATCAATTGAATGATTCACAAAATAAGGAGCAAAGCAGTGCAAAGGATTTGGAGAGATTGAGATGTCATTTAATGGAAATTGAAGCGAGTTATACGCAAGAATTATTGCAGACCGAGGAAATAAGAAGAGATTTGGAAGCGAAATTAATTCAAGCTGAGGAGAAAGTTAAGAATAGTTCGACAGTTTATACATCTGCCAGTATTAGAGCGAATCAACAAGTTGAAACGATGCAACAACAAATGGCATTAATCGTTCAGCAAAGGGACGATATTCAAAATAAATTATCAGCTGCCGAGGATAAAATACTCTCATCCACTGCGTCGTTGACGAATCTTCAATTTGTTCTCGAACAATTCCAAAGAGGTGAATATCCATTCTATTGATTAATCTGGAAATTTATCAATAGGTTAATTCAATATTCAATGAATTCCAATTAATTAATTCGCTAATTGACTTTTATTCAATAATTTATGACAGGATTGCGACAGGTCAGGGAAAATCAAAATTCTTTCCAGAAATTCAATTATTTTCGAAAATTTAAAAAAAAAGTTCTCGTCAACATTTTAATTATCTTTATAAATAGCAAAATTCTTCACCAAAATTCAATTATTTTCAGGAATTTTAATAAAATTCATTGTAAAGTTCAATTATTTTCATAATTAACAATATTTATCAGAAGAATTCAATTATTTTTAAAATTAATAAAATTCTTCGGAGAAATTCAATTATTTTCAAAAAATAAAAAAAAAAATTGTCAACATTTCAATTATCTCTATAAATAGCAAAATTCTTCGCCGAAATTCAATTATTTTTAGAAATTTTAATAAAATTTATTGCTAAATTCAATTATTTTGATAAATAAAAGCATTCATCACAAGAATTCAATTATTTTACAATGTAATAGAATTCAATTATTTTTTTAAATTTGAATGGAATTCATGCCAAAATTTCAATTATTTTCAAAAATGTTTCTTAATTCAATAATTTGTATATCTAATATTTTAATTTTGTTGATAAAATTATTTATGAGAATTTAATTTTGAAAAAAAATTCATTTATTCAATAATTTTTTCTTTTTTGTATTTAAATAATTGAATTCTCATAGAATTTTCTAATAAAAATTGTTTTAAAAATGAATTTCAGATAAAAAAAATTGAAAATAATTGATAATCGTTCATTTACTTCTTTCGAAGAATTTTAGTAAAATTTTTTAAATTAATTACATTTTTAGAAGAGTTTACTTAAAATTTTATTAAAAATAATTAAAATCCTGAGAATAATTTTATTATTTAGGAAAATAATTGAAATTTTGCAACGAACTTTTATTGTATTTTTTAAAAATAATTAAAATCCTGTTATAAAATTTAGTATTCAGAAAAACAATTGAATTCTTGCAAAGAATTTTATTACATTTCTTTTAAATAATTGAAATCCTGAGAATAATTTTATTATTTAGGAAAATAATTGAAATTTTGCAACGAACTTTTATTATATTTTTTAAAAATAATTAAAATCCTGTTATAAAATTTAGTATTTAGAAAAACAATTGAATTCTTGCAAAGAATTTTATTACATTTCTTTTAAATAATTGAAATCCTGTAAAGAATTTTATTATTTATGAAAATAATTGAATTCTTTTGTGAAATTTTATTAAAATCGTAGATTTTGAAAATATTTGAATTTCAGCGAAGAATTTCATTATTTGTGAAATGTAATTGAATTCTTGCAAAAAATATTTGAAAATAATTACATTTTTCGAGAAATTTATTTAAAATTTTATTAAAAATAATTTAAATCCTAGGAAAAATTTTATTATTTATATTAATAATAATTGAATTCTTACAATTTGAATAAATTCGTTAATTAATTTGAATTTTCCCAGAATTATTCGTTAATTAATTTAATTAAGTTAATTTTATTTTATTTAATAATTAATAAGTAAAATATAAAATAGGTATAATTTAAAACAAAAGAAATTTAATTTTACTAAGAAATAAATTATTATTGTAGATAAAGAAAAAGATATTCAAGCAGGAACAGAGAAAATTCGTCAACAACTTAATGAGTCCTACAGGCAGCAGGAAAATTTGTCCATTGAAATTTCAAGTCTAAAGGTTGGTTATTCCCTTTACACTGGAGCTTCACTTATTTTCAGTCTCACTTATTTTCACCATTTCCAGTCTCACTTATTTTCAGTTAAATGGTTCTCCGTGCGTTCTCATTGGTTGATGTTAAAGAATCCACCAATCAAATCAACTCGAATGTTACGTTTCAGAGTGAAAATAAGTGCGACTTTGCCTTTCAGTTTGTTTGGACTTAGTGAAAATAAGTGAAGCTTCAGTGTATTATAAAATAATAAGAAGAGAAACTTTTTTTAAAAGTTTTTATTTAAAGAAACAACGACATTTTGCAGAAAAATTGTTTTCAACTTTTTGAAGAAGAATTATTTCAAATATATATTTTTTTAATTTTCAGGAGCAATTGGCAGAGGCGAAGGAATGCCTACTGGCAGCCTCGAGATTGAGTGAAGAATTAGACAAGAAGAGTGAAAAAATTGGACAACTGAATCAAGAAGGTAATTTGAAAATAAGAATCAAAATAACAAACTGTTTATTGCTTTTGCACTTTTTTTTGGCTCGATTTTCTTTTCACTTGCATGTTTAGTGTCACATTGCACAGTAGTTGTAAAAGTAAATTTCGATTTTGTTTTTTAAAAACAATATTAAAAAACTTGAAAAATAATTCCAAGAATTCATTTCCTTTTCAAATAAAAGGCAATCTGTTTTCACATTCATAAAGACAAATCATATTTTAATAATATCATAACAATCATAAAAACATATTAACGAACATAAGAAAAGTTGATTTTAAATATATATGAATTTATTCAGGAAGTAGGAATATTTTTGCTTTTTTCGCTTTAATTTATCGCTTTTTGTAACAAAATGCAACTTTTAATATATTTTTAATAAAAATATCTAGGTTAACATAATAATAATAATTAATAGTTAATATAATATTAATAGGGAAATTAATTTTTTTTTCTAATTAATATAAAACTCGATTATTATATAATTGTGAAAAAGACCGGTTCTTTTGCAAATGAAATTTTTTTTTAAATTAAAGAATTAAAAAAATACATTTCAATAATTGTTTTCACAAAAGAAAGGGTAAATTCGTGTTTCTTTTTTAAATTTTTATTGAAGCGAAACTATAGTCAATAATGAGGCGTGATTTTTAATAATAAAAAAAAAATTGGAGCTGGGTGAAACGAAATTCAACACCAGGGAGGTTATATAATTAATTATATTTTTATATATAATCAAGAGTTTGGCTGTGAACCTGTGACTAATCTGACCAAAAATGAAACAATGCAAACGCACATTTTATTCGGTTTTGCAGTCCAATATCAGCTGGTAATTCTGGGATTTTAACATTAACCCAGGATTCTTGCTGGTATCAGGCTACGAACTGAACCGTCGCCTTTGCACACTTTTTAATTGCATCTCGGCTGATTCACGCATTGACATTTTGGTGCTGGTTTTTTTTTCTTATATTAAAATAAAATTATTTTATAATCACTTTTTACTCGACCATGAAATTTTTTTCGAATTTTTTTTTTGAGAAAAAACAAAAACACTGATAAAGTATTTTATATTTTTTTTTATTCACTTTGTATTTATAATTTCTGTTTTTTTTTCTAAATAAATATTGAAATATTGTTTGGTTTGAAAACTGATGTTTAGGTTTTGTGCAACTACTTGGAAATTTCGATTTAGAAGATAAAGTTACGTTCGATAAATTAAATAGTATTCTTTATTTATTAATTATTAATTCCAGTGACTTTATGTTCTAATGTGTGTGCTTGCAAATTTCAAATCGAAATTTCCATTTTATATTTAAAAAATTATGTTAAAAATTGTTTTTCTTTGCTCTTTTATTCCTTTTGTGATTTTTTATTAAAAAGAAAGAAATTTAAATGAAAAAATCAGAGAATTGAAGAAATAAAGTTGAAATAAGTAAAGAAAGAAAAAGAACAAAATTAAAGAATATTTTACGGAAAAAATTCATTTTGTAGTGGCAAATATTTTTTAATATTCTTGTAAATCTAGAATATTTCAAGAACATTTTTCTTACTCGAATAAAAGAGCGAAGAATTATATTTTAATTAGACAATTAGAAATTTTCTAGAGTAAATTTATTTGTAAAGTAAATACTTTTTAGTTTAGTAATAGAAATATTTTGTAGATTAGATTAATTAGAGCAATATTTATTAGTAATAAAGCATTCCTCGGAAATAAATTCATTTTGAAAAAATTCTTGATTATCACAAAAAATTACAAAAATAACTTCGGGAAATTTTTTTCAGTCAAGAAAAATTGAATCAATTAAAAAAGCAAATAAAATTTGCAAAGTAATTTTAATAGTTTGATAAAAAAAAACAAAAATATTGTTATTTATGCAATAATTTTAGAAAAGTATATCAAGAATTCTTTTAAAAATAGATTTGTTTCCTAAATTCAGAATATTTTTTTAACTATTTATATTTTCTTTCGAAACTTTTCAAGACTGTTATTTTAATTTATAATTTCAAGAAAATTAGGAGCATTATTTATTAACAAATATTTAATAAATTAAATAGTTTTTTTTTTTGATAAAATTTCTATTACAATTGGCAAATAATAAATATGAATAACAAAATCTTTTTATTTATTTTAACGAAATTAATTGAAATTCGTTTACTATAAAATTATTTACTATTCATTTATTATTTGAAAAAATTATTTTTTAAGACAATTATTACAAAATAATTTTTAAAAAAAACCGGTTTTAACAAAAAGCAAAGAACAAAATAAGTTGTTAACTTCAAACTGACACAATTCGGAAGAATTTGTAAAAAATATTCATGGCCAGATTTCCCTTTCTTTGAATAAATAAAATACAATAATAAAAAAATTCTTTTTAAATCATACAATAAAAATAAATATTCAAAATTTCTATTTAATTTATTAAAAATTAATTTTCACTAGTCGGTAATAAAATAGATGATTTTGATTTATGTAAATATTTGTTGATAAGAATTTTGGAGTAGAATTAAAAAAAGTAATTTTTTCTTTAATTAAAATAATCATCTAAATTAAAAAAAATATCTATATCTGGTAGTGTTGGAGTGAGTAATCTCATGCGGTAACTGTGAGCGTATAAATTTCAGAAGCTCATATTACCCCGTGGGGTTTCCCACCCGCTACCCCTGTCCTGCAAGTTTTAGAAGAAAAATTAATTAGAGAATCCCTTTTCAGAAAATTACGTTCATATTACATTTGAGAAAAAATTTTTCCATATTTTTACTTTTCGCATTTTTATAAAATTATATTCAAATTTCCAACGAAAAGATGCTAATTTTAATTTTATTATTAAAGAAACAAATTATTATTAAGCTGCAACGATTAAATTTTTATTAATGAAAATTTTACACTTTAATACGTATTTCGAAATAGAAACTAATTTCAAATACAATTGAGATTGTAATAATATTTAATTAATAATAAATATTATTAATAAATAATATTTTAACAAATATTTCTAATAGATAATATTTATAATAAATAATATTTATAAAAAATGTAATATTAATAAAATAAACAATTAATCAAGAAAATTAATTTATTTTCTAAATACACAATTTTATCGATGCAGCTTAATTTTTCCTTTTGATATTAAAAATATAATTTGAAGAGCATGTGCAAATTGTTAGACTGTATTTTTTTTGTGCAAAAATGGCATGATATAGGAAGAATGCAGCATGAAAAAAAACAGGACGTGGGTGTGAGTATTACATCAGGTACTGGTGTAGAATCTTAGCTACCAGTGCTTGTGTTATACTTGCGCTTTTGTCTTTTCAATCTACCTGCCTGACAACTATACACCATCGGAATGTAAACCTACACAAATATACAATATTGCGTTTAAATAAAATACATCCTTTTTCATTTATATACTATAAACAGTGTATAAAACACGCAACTTATTTATTAGAAAAATTACCACTTAACCCTGGAATGTCAAAAGTCAATGAGAACGACTTAAGGTAGCAACAATAATTTTTATAGAAAAAAAAAATCAGACACGTTTCATCAACCTTCGAATTAATTACTGTAAACGAAAAACCTTCACTTTACTCTTATTTTAAGCGTCATAAACTTTTTTTTTTCTAAATTTATTTATAATTCGTAATTATAAATTAAATTAAAATTTAAAAATACAAAAAATGATTTATATTTTCGAGAATAATTATATTTGTAAATAAATAGTTTCATTAAATTATTAATTAAGAATAATAACTTAATAATTATTAGTTAATAATCAAGTGCAAAAATTTATTCAATACAAATTTTTGCTAAATATTTTTCTAAATAAAAAATTTCTGCATATAAAATAGTAGAGAATTAATAGTTTGTTAATAATTTTGTGATGTACTTTTAATAATTTTTTAATTCTTAATTTTATTTTTTGCAGTTGCGCAATTGACTCTTTTGGTGAACACTGCCGATGAAAGAATTCAGGAAGCAAACAAAAGTGGTGAAGGAAAAGTTGATAAGTAAGTTTTGAAGAGTATAATTTTGAAATATTTTAATTTCATCATCAAAATATTTGTTTTTCGTAATAGAAACAAATGCGTTTTAGAAAAGAAAGAAGAATATTCTGTTCTTTTTTTAATTGGATAAGTGAAAATTTCGCTGATTCAAATTAAGAGAGTAAAAAAAACAGTTTTTAAAAAGAAAAATAAATATTTTTAGAAAAAAATGCGAAAATTTCAATTTGTAATTAAAAATTTTCTTTTCAGAAATCTTGTGAAAAATTTGCTTTTGGGTTATTTGACATCGTCAGCTAATGATAAAACTTCGGTAATGAGGGTATTTTCAACTGTTTTGGATTTCAACGATTCCGAAAGGGAGAAAACTGGTCTAAACAGTTCGGCTGCGAAAAATAGTTGGTTCTCAAATGTTTTACACAGCGGAGGAAACGTGCCAAACAAGGTAAATTTTTTTTTAATAAAATTTCAAAATAGATGCGATTAAATTAAAAAATTACTTTTTCTTTCATAAACAGGGTTGCCATAGGTCAGGGAAAAGTCAGGGATTTTTTATTAAAGTACTGGAAAAAATTAAATTTGCAGAATTTATAATTAGTTTTATTTTATTTTTTAATATAATATATTATATTTAATTTATTTAATTTATTTAATTTATTTAATCATGAATTTATAGAAGAATTTTATTTAAAAACACTAAAAAAATTGTATTTTAGAGAAGTTACAAATGTTTAAAAAATTCAAATTTGTACAAAAATTTAAAAAAATTCTAGTCAAAATTTCAATGGTATATCTTTAAAAATAATAAAATTCTTTATGAGAATTCAATTTTGAAAAAAATTCATTTATTGAATCATTTCTTCATTTTTGTATTTAAATAATTGAATTCTCATAGAATTTTCTAATAAAAATTGTTTTAAAAATGAATTTCAGATAAAAATTTTTTAAATAATTGTTAATGTTCATTTCTTTCGAAGAATTTCAATAACATTTTTTTAATTAATTACATTTTTTGAAAAATTTACTTAAAATTTTATTAAAAATAATTGAAAGCCTGTGAAGAAATTTAGTATTTAGGAAAATAATTGAATTCTTGCAAAGAATTTTATTACATTTCTTTTTAAATAATTGAAATCGTGTGAAGAATTTTATTATTTAGGAAAACAATTGAATTCTTGCAACGATATTTATAAATTACATTTCTTTTAAATAATTGCAATCCTGTGAAGAATTTTATTATTTATGAAAATAATTGAATTCTTTTGTGAAATTTTATTAAAATCGTAGATTTTGAAAATATTTGAATTTCAGCGAAGAATTTCATTATTTGTGAAATGTTATTGAATTCATGAAAAAAATGTTTGAAAATAATTACATTTTTCGGGTGATTCATTTAAAATTGTATTAAAAATAATTTAAATCCTAGGAAAAATTTTATTATTTATGATAATAATTGAATTCTTACAATGAATTTTATTACATTTTTATAAATTCTAAATAATTGAATTGATGTGAAAAATTGTATTAATTATAAAAATAATTGAATTCTTACGAAGAATTTTATTAAAATTTTTGTAAATAATTTAATTTTCTTTTTGTTATTTTTTATAGAAATCTAAATTATTATAAAACAGAAAGATAGCGATCTTTCTGTTTTACAATAATATTCTTAAAAGTTATTGAATTTTAAAAGGTTTAAATTTAAGAATCAGAATATTCTTTTGGATCAGGGAAAAAGTCAAAATTTTTTCTGGAAATCAGGGAAAAAGAAAATTAATTTTTTTGTTGCAACCCTGATAAGTCGGTAACGATTTTCAAATTGAATAATAAATTTAACTTTTCAGGACGCGGAAGCTTCATTGTCAGCGGCTTTTGTTAAATTCTTGGAAAGCGAATCAGCACCAAAAAATCAATTACCAGCTTTACCGATTTCTAATACTGTAAGTCTATTTTCCTTTTTCTTTTCATAGTGAATATTAAAAATATAAGAGAAAAATTGGTTGGAAACTTAATAAACATACCGAATTGGTTTTTTTCCAGCCATTAACTAAACCGGGTCACAGCAGGCAACATTCAACATCATCAACGCAGTCGACACTCCTTTTATCCAACATTAATTTGCCAACGTTTCCAGATTTTGTTCCAGCAAGAAATACAGGATCGATTCTGAAAGAAGTTTTAAAAGACAGCTGATATTGAAAACACGTTTCTTTTTGTCTGCTCCTTATTAGTGAACAACTATATCATAAAAGTAACTACGATTAAAAATTAAAGGTTTTGTTTCTATTTCTGAATTTTCTAAAAAGTATAATTAATATTAAATCTTATTTTGTCAGGATATCACCAATTATGGATTCCAATAAATTTTAAGAAGCATTTGAAACCGAAGCAACAAGAAAACTTCCGATAAAAATAATTATTTTTAAGTATTATTATTATTACTAATATTATAATTATCATTACTGTTAAATAGTGACAAAAAAAAATTCGAAAAAGTCTCCAAATTTAGTCGCCGAAGAGTTTGTTCCAAAATTCATCGATTTTCTTTATTTTCTTAATCATTTTATTGTTTCTATTTATTTCATTTCAAAAATGTAAGTGGCGAAAAAATATTTTAAAAAAACAGCATTGATTGCTGGATAAAAAAGTTCAATTGAATATTAAAAAATTTTTGTTTTATTATTAAAAATGTTGTCAATAGAAGGTAATTTTGAAAAATATTCCTCTTATTAAATTGTTTCAAGTATAAAAATGATAATTTTGTTTTTTTGTAAATTTTGTATTTTGTTTTGTTTAGATTATTGAGGAAAATATTATTGTGCAATTTTGTTTTGTAAATTTGTTTTAAAATACATTATATGTATATGTTGTAAAATAATTGTTTTAAATTATTTAAGAAAATTGTCAATTTTTCGTGTCACAGTGAATTTCACACAAGATTTCAAGAATATTGTATAAAAATTTTGAAAAATTACTAGTGATATTATAAAAGAAAAATGTAGAATAATAAAATATATACTTATATAAAATTACTTCTTTCATTGAAATAATTCCCAACTCAATACAATTAATTAATATTTATAATTAATGAAATAGTGTAAATAATTTTAATAATTCAATAAATCAGTAAATTTTAAAGTTTGTATAAAATTTAAATTTATATGATGAAAAACTAATTTCTTTTAATTCTTCTAATGAAAAAAAATGTTTCTGTTAATATTTAAGTTTTATTGTTTGGTAAATTTATTATTATTGGAGAAAATTAAGAAAAAATAAAAATAAAAATATTAAAGTTTTCGACAATCGGGTTTTTTAGTCTCTTTTGGTTTAAACCTTTAGTTTTAAATATTTGCAGTCAAAAATAAAAGAAAATAACAATAAATATATATTATATACTTTATAAAAAAAAATAAACTATAATAAAAATAATCATACTGAACTTAACCTCAATTCTCCAGCTAAAATAAATGGCGAAAAAATAATTATATTTTGAAGACAGAAATAATAATAATAAAAATATTATTGAAATATATATATTGAAATAAATAAAATATAAACTTTAAGATAAAAAATAAATATAAACTTACGGAAATCACAAGAAGTAGTGTATTGTGGAAATCACGTGGAAATCATCAACACTGTACTTTAACCTCCATTTTCCAGCTGTATTTGTACTTTATCATCTTTGATGCTATAAAAAATACTTCCATGACTATTCGATTCTCTTATTTTCAAAACTCCTGTTGTTTCCCAATTATTTTAAACACAACAATAAACATTTCTTTCCTGTAAATTTCTATTTTTCGTTGAGCGACTGCATGGCGCGTCTACTATGAACCAGCGTACGAAATGAACAGGTCCTTTAGTAAGTGCTGCCAACTGAAAAAACAGTTAACTATTCATGAAAATTCTCTTTAAAATGCTCTTATGAAGTTTTTCATAACAATAGAAGAAAAAATCATAACAATTAATAATATACTTTTCAATTAACCCAACTTTAATATTAATCTTCTAATAAATATTTTTTTTTAAATTAATAAAAGAAATGAAAATTGAATTGTCACGTGACAATCTGCACATGCGCACATTGTCCCTTGCGCATCAATCGTTTATTTTCAAATTTTTGAATTCTCTCCAATGATTTTCATAATTTCGAGAAAAATGTAATTTCAAAATTAATTACTTTAGGAATTTTTATTTTTAATAAGAAAATGTTTACCATTTAATAAATATCATATTTTTATTTATAAATTTTTTTTATTAAATAATGCAATTTACCGGTAATATTTGAATTGAAGAAGTATCAAGTGCGCATGCGCAAAGTGTCACGTGATAGTTTAATTTTCATTTCCCATTTATTTAAGAATTGAAAATAGTTTTTAGTGGATTAATAATATTATGGAGTTAATTAAGTAGTGTCTTAATATTTGTAATTATTTTTATTTTTATTGTTATTAGAAAATGCATAATATTAAAATAGGGGACATTTGAAAAACATTACGGTGAGAGGTTTATTTTTCATACAGTTGGTAGCGCTACCGACATGGCTACGTTCAGTTCGCTACAAAGTTCACAGTGTCGCTGCAGTCGCGCAACAGTTCATCGCTCTTGCCTCGTGCACAAATATTTTTGCATCAAAAAAGTATATTTATCTGAGTATTTCACTTTATTTATATTGAAATCTTCTAATTATATCTACAGTGTTAACTAGTAACAAAGATTGATTGATAGGATTAAAGTAAATTTTCGATTTTCAACTATTTGGAGTGTTTAACAATGACCGTGTTACATGCCTTGTCAACAATGCCGGTGAGTAATTTTCGACTTATTTATTCATCTATACTTGTGAAAATTGCCATTTTTCGTTTATTTACAATGCCCTTTGAATATTTTTATTCTATTTTTCGTATATGAGAATGAGAAAATGTCTTTCTTTTAACATAACCTGCCGTCTCTTGATCGATTTCATGCTCCATGTTCTCTATTGACGTATATTTTTGCCAAATCGATTTTGCGTCTAAAGATTGAAAAATATTGTCTGTAATCACAACAGGTTTGTGATTATTCATTAGTACGTTGATTTATTGATAATTTTACCATGATGCCCCTTGTTTTTTGTCGACAATTTGTGAAAATTTCTACATTTGTGTGTATAATGGATTGTCCGCCATTTTTGTTGCATATATATGGGAAAGTTTATTTTACAATTGTCCTGGCGGATTTAATTATTTAAATGCAATTTATTTATGAATAAGTATCAACTTATTAATATTTTCATAATTACATCATAAATATCATATTAATTATATTATTATATAATTAATATGATATTGATGATGGAAAAATGTGTTCATTTAACGACAATGAAGTCGGAAATGTTAACAATTTGCCTCTGTTAGAAACAAATATAGTTAATTATTCTTAATTAATCGACGTTAATTACAATTTCTTGGCTTTTGGAAAATAATTCCATACCGATTATTGACAAATGTTTATAAAATTACTTAGAAAGTAAATATTAAAACATTTGGAAATATTGCAAATATTTCCTGGAAGGAAAATTGTTTTTACACCCCTGTCGGGAAATAGATCTTGTGCAGGCGCTTTACCAGTAAACATTTTTTCTTTCTTATTGCAAACTATTTGCATTTTTCGAACGTTTATTAATAGAAATCGTTTTTGATTTTTTAGGTTAATATTTCTTAAAAAATAGGAGTATATTTTCTAAAATTATTATATATTTTTTTTTAATTTTTAAATTTTTCTAAAACATGCGCATAAGTGTAGGCAGTTCTGCGCGTGTGTGTGATTTGTTGTTTGCAAGCAGACGAAAAAGAATTAACCATCATGAATTTCAACTGCAAAATATTTTAATTTATCATTAAAAAACTAATTGACTATTTCGAAAAAGAATGTAAAATTAATTTTACCAACAATATCGATAATATATCTAAGATACACGTTTTTTTTGTGCCTGGTAAGTGAGAATAAAAGCAAATTCAATCAATTTAAGTTTTTTAGGTTAGGTTCTAGAAAAATGTCTCAAAATTACAATTTCTTTGTTATTTAAAATTTTTTTTATCAATATCTAAAGTAAATATTAAGGAAAACAAATTGAATAAACATTTCTCTTGTAAATTCTTTTCTTAAATTTTCAATTCAGTACAATTTTTATTCTTTGTTTACTAATTCTCTGCAACATTGAAATTTGTCATTGTTGTTGATTTTCATTATTAATGAATTAATTGAACACTATTAATTATTTAAATATTTTAAGTAAATATCTTTTCGTTAAATTAAAATTAATTTAAAAATGTTCACTTATTTGGAAATTAAATGTTTACAATAATAAATCTATCGAACATGAATATTTTCAGAAAATTCTAATTTCTCTCGATATTTTTTAATAGTAAAGAATGGAAAATTAATAATCGACTATAATAATTATTAAATGATAGTAAAATATAAAAATAAAGAATTTGAGAATTGAGAATTTCTAAAATTTCTTTAAAGAAATAAAAGAAAATTTTTTTACTTTACAGATATTTTCAGCAGTTAATTAAGGAAAGGGAAAGATGATTTTTGATCGTGATTATTCAAAAGTTCCCTGCATTAGGCAAAGTTTTCTCAATGGCATAGGGGCAGGTGTTATTGGTTTAGTGGCAGTACTTATGATGACAAGTAAACCTCGTTTAGCTGCAAATTGCTGTATTGGCGCATTTGTAACAGTTTCTCCTGGTTCATTCGTATATTGTCAGTATAAATTGAAAAAAACTAAAGATTTATTAATGGAAGCAAAAATAAGAGCAGTTAAATCAGAATAGTAAATTAAATTTAGATTTATAAAAATATTTATATGTACATAATAATAATTTACCCAATTTTGTATAAAATTGTTGAAAATAGTTAAAGTTTTTAATGATTAATAAAAAAAAATATTCTTAAGTTTTAGAATAATTTCAGTTTATTTTTCAACGTCGCACATATTTCGAATTCTTTAAATATTTATGCGGGCAGTTTAAAAAAAATTCCCCAACTCTCTAGATTTTAAAATATAACAGATTTTTTGCTTCAGAATTTAGTTAATTTGACTAATAAATCGAATTTTTTAGTAAAATTTACTAATAGCATAAAATTAGTCACTAATTCAAATTATTAAACATTTGTTATTAATTCGAAAAATTATTTTAAAAAAGTAATAATTATAGAAAAAATAAAAAATTTAATTCGTTGGGAAAATTAAATTTTAGTTTTTAATTAGTAGCTAATTTTAGAAATTATTTAAAATTAAAAAAATTTTTAGCTTATTTTTTATTTTTAGCTTTTTTTATTATTTAAAGATTATTTTTTAATAAACTAATTACTTTTTTACTGAATTAAATAAAAGACTACTTTCTATATTTCTCGAAAAATTTGAAATCGATAATTATTTAAGAGAAAAGAATTTATTATTTAAAAAAAACGGTAAAATTAATTTTGCATTTCTATTTAAAAATGAAATACAACACATTTTCAGTCTTAATATATATAAATAATATCTATTATCTTCCATTCTGAGTAATAGATATATTTCAGCAGCTGTTATTTGAAATTAAATCACATGTTTTATTCACGAGATTATACACGTCAGCTCTTTTGTCTCTGCGAATATTTGTTTTTTTTCTGTTTTATAAATATTTCACAATTGGTTTCGAAATACATGTCAGCACACTTTTAAAGTAATAACAACAACAAAAAAAAAATAAATAAAGAAAATACGAAGAGTCATGTGGGAACAATGTTGTTTTTAAATTATGAAGAAGTTGCATATAATACCTTCTATTTTTGAAAAAAGACTAAGCAATTTATTATTATTGTTATTAATTTTTTTTTCTTTAAATATATGTACAGGGCGTATATCTAATGGCGCGCAACATAAACAGTAAATTTGTTACCACTAGAATACAATATTTGATTAAAAATTATACAGCAATTTTTTTTTTTTTTTTTTTTTTTTTTTTTGAAAAAGCGTTTTTTTAGCTTTTATTATTTCTTTATAGTTGGTTAATATAACGCTCTCCTAAATTCTATTCACAGTATCATTTTGAAAATACATTTTTACTGATTTAACAGTGTCATTTTTAGTTGTTTTTTCTTTTCTTTCTTTTTGTTTTTTTGTTTTTTTTTGGTAAAATGCGTAAGAGTCTAGGAAGGCAACACTTTCCTCTATAGACATTTTAGGAGCTAATTCACTGGTATGAAAAAAATATAGTATTTGGGAAGAATTTTTATATAATTCTTATATTTTAAAATATTTTTGAAATATTTCTCGAATATTTTTTGAATATTTAGATATTTCTGGAATATTTCTTAAATATTTGAATATTTCTTGAATATTTGAATATTTCTTGAATATTTGAATATTTCTTGAATATTTTTTAAATACTTCTTAAATATTTCGTAAATACTTCTGTTTTTAAATATTACGTTTATTAGCGATTATTTATTATTCGGTGATTATAATATTTAATCGTTACGGTAATTATTTTTTTCAAATTATTATAATAAAACAAAAATTTATTTGTTTAATTATCTTAAAATTAAGAAATTAAATTCTACTATTATGTAAATCGCTATTTTATATAATAATTTTTCCGTTATTTTTCTTTTTTTTTGCATTTATATAAAAATTCTTCCCCTAGTATGCCGATTATATTTACGGTAACAGAGGCAAGGATTCGCCATCGGAAAAAAAACCCTGTATATATACAAATATTTGCATATATAATACAGATATAAATATATACATACATAACGTAACATCGCACTAATTTTTTTTTTTTTTTTTTCGTGAATTGTGATAATTCATTAAACACTACAATTGCTTATTTTAAATACATTATACATAGTTAGCTAATGTTATTATGAAGAGCGAATTGTTGCCATTATTATATTTTCTAGTACCTGAAAATTGTAAATTCCAAAAAAGAAGAAAAAAAGGGAATTCGTATTTAAAATAATAAAAATAAATAAATGTGTATTATTTAAATATAAATTTATTTATATTGTATAAATTTTCTATTTATAAAATGTAGATAAATTTATATTTATGTAATGTAAATGAGTTTGTGTTTGTAAAATAAATATAAGTATAAATATAAATATATGTAAATAAATATATAATATAAAGAAATGTATGTTTATATATTTTGGATACATTTTATTTATATTATGTAATTAAACATATATTTATAAATATACTCCTCTATAAATGGTGGCAAAAGTAAAATTGTAAATATTGTTAAAAAAAAGCCAAGAAAAAGTAAAAAATGTTCTTAATTCTACAACCTCATAGTTGGTGATATACACGCTGTCTTTGCGATGGTATTTTCATTATTGTATATAATTTTTTTTTTTTTTAAATTTTTTTACTCTCACGCCCATTCAGATCGGACAAAGCTTAAGATTATGTGATTCGCTACTTTTAATGACTTGATCTTTTTGAAACAGAAATTCAATGAACTTAATTTGATGGTTCATTGATTCTAATTCTGTTTCTTGTGCCGCGAACTCTTTTCGTTATATTAACGATTCGATGTTACAATTGGTATTAGCGAACACCACCCTTTGAGTGTGCTATAAGCCACTGCAACGTTATGTCGATATTGTCCTTTTCCTTGCACGAAATACTGTAGCAACATATTTCACGGTCTTGAATTGCAGACAGATTCCTAAACAAAAATTTCTTATTATTTCTTTCGCTGGAATTTTAATTCTTTTTACTCTTTTTTCCTTTAGATAGGAAAGTAGGGTTGCCACAGGTCAGAGAATTTAGGGATTTTTATTAAAAGTACTGAAATTAGTTAAATTTTATAAAGTACATATTTAATTAATTATTAAAAATAATGGATTTTATAGAAGAATTTTAGTTAAAAACACTAAAAAAAAATAATTAAATTTTGGAGAAGTTACAAATGATTGCAGAAATTTAATTATTTTCAAAAGGAATAGAATTCTTCGGAGAAATTCAATTACGTTCAAAAATTTAAAAAAATTCTCGTCAAAATTTCAATTATATTTATAAATAATAAAATTCATCTTCAAAATTCAATTATTTTCGAAAATTTAAATAAATAAAATGCTTATAAAAATTTCAATTATTTTCAACAAATTTTCCCTAATTCAATGATCTTTAATATCTACTATTTTAATAAAATTTTCCAAAAAAATTCAATTATTTAAAATAAAATTCTACGCAGACATTTAATTATTTTCATAAATAATAAAAATTTCAGAGGCATTCAATTATTTACAAACTTTTTATACATTTCTTCGCAATAATTTAATTATTTGGTAAATAATAAAACTTTTTACAAGGAACAAAATTCTTTTCAGTAATTCAATTATTTTCATAAATAATAAAACTATCACAAAATTTTAATTATTTTTAATCAAATTCCTTGAAAAATATAATTCTTCTTAAAAATTTTATTAAAATTCGTCAAAAGAATTCAATTATTTAAAAATTTAGTAATAAAATTCTCTATGAAAATTGAACTTTAAAAAAACATTCAATTATTCAACAAATTGTTTTTTTGTATTTACATAATTGAATTCTCGTTAAATTCGTTAAATTCAAATATTTTCTTAAAACCTAAAATAAATTCTTTCCAAAAGTTTAATTGTTTTCAAAAATATACATAAAACTCTTAGCAAGAATTCAATTATTTTGTTAAAATACAAAATTCTTCTCAAAAGTTTAATTATTTTCAAAAATATAAATAAAACTCTTTACAAGAATTCAATTACTTTTATAAATAATAAAATCTTCCGAAAAATTCGATTATTTTGTTAAAATTTAAAATTCTTCGCAAAAGTTTAATATTATTTTCAAAAATATCAATGAAACTCTTTACAAGAATTCAATTACTTTTATAAATAATAAAATCTTCCAAAGAATTCGATTATTTTCTTAAAATATAAAATCTGCTCAAGAATTCAATTATGTATTTTCAAAAAATTTAAAAAATCTTGGCTAAAATTCAATTATTTTCATAAATAAAAAATATTCTTCGCAGGAATTCAATTATTCTCAAAAATTTAAATGAAAATTCTTTGTTCGAATTCAATTATTTTCTCAAATTATAAAATTCTATGCAAAAGTTTAATTGTTTTCAAAAATTTACATAAAACTCTTAGCAAGAATTCAATTACTTTTATAAATAATAAAATCTTCCAAAGAATTAAATTATTTTGATAAAACTTAAAATTCTTCGCAAAAGTTTAATTATTCTCAAAAATTTAAATAAAACTCTTTGTTCGAATTCAATTATTTTTTCAAATCATAAAATTTTTCGCAGAAATTCAATTATTTTCAAAAATTTAAATAAAATACTTCGCAATAATCCAATTATTTTTATTAATAATAAAATTCTTCAAAAGAATTTAATTGTTTTCAAAATATTAAAAAAAAAATCTTCGCAAAAATTCAATTATTTTTATCATAAATAAAAAAATATTCTTCGCAGGAATTCAATAATTATTTTCAAAAATTTAAATAAAACTCTTCGTTCGAATTCAATTATTTTCTTAAAATAAAAAATTCTTCACTGAAATTCAATTATGTTAAAGAATTTAATTAAATACTCGTCAAAATTTCAATTTTCTTTATAAATAATAAAATTCTTCTCTGAAAGTCAATTATTTAAAAAAAATTTTTAACAACATTCTTAGCAAAATTACAATTATTTTCAAAAATTTTCCAAAAGAATTCAATAACACATTTAAAAAAAAATCTTTGTAGGAATTTAATTATTTTTATAAATAAAAAAAAAAAATAATAATAATAATTTAATTTAATTTAATTTAAAATTATAATAATTTTATTAGAAATCGTCAAAAAATTCAATTATTTAAATTTTTGTGGCAACCCTGAAAAGTATTTTTTCTAAAAATTTTCTGAAAATTTAATATTAATAATTAGGTTTCTAAAGTTAGCGTCGACGCCGTTCGTTGAAAAACGTTTTTTTTTTTACTTTAAGACTCAATTATTTTTGCGTTTTTATTATGAGAAAGTACTCTTACCCTTTTTTTAACTCCCTGACTGAAAGAAGGGAAATTAGTGTCATTTTCGACTCTAAAAAACCCAAAATAATAAATTTCGACGCTGAGAATCGACGCTAATATTAGGGACCTTGATAATTGATCTTTAAGATTGAAAATTTAGGGCATTCTTACATTCTTTCTATGAGTCCATTTTCATCCAAGGCATGAGGTAAATCTCTTTTGTTGCCGAGAACAAGGACAGGAATTCCCGATAATTGTGGTTTATCTAAAAGATTGTGCAATTCATTTCTGCTCGCTTCAATTTTCTCTGAGTCTGCAGCATCAACCATATAAACAATTGCATTAACACCACGACAATATCGTTCCCACATTGATCTAAATCTCGGTTGTCCACCAATGTCCCATACTTTAATTGTGACATTGCCTTTTGTTATCTTGCGCATATTGAAACCAACAGTTGGTATCATATCTTCACTAAATTGACCCGACTGAAAGAAAATTACTTTTTGTAAAATAACAATACGATATATTTATATCTCTCCTCTTTACACAATCTCTTTTACAATTACTTGCAGAATTTAACGAAAAACATATATCTGTTCCTTAAACACAAAAATTACTGTAAACATATTTAAATATATATATATATTTATCCGTGAATCTTATCTTGGCAAAATTTTGCAACTTGATAAAAATTTATATTCATAAAACAACAATGTAGTTGTTATATAATTGAATTTTAATAACAAAGGTATTTATTTCTATTTTTACATAAGAATATATTGTTTTTAAGAAATTAGGAATTTTATGCAGTCGAATTTATCTAATGTACAGTAGTCGTGAATGTTAAATTAATATTTGCGATAAAATGAAAACAAATGACTGTCATTAAAAAATGAAAAAAGTATGCGTAAAAAATTGATTACAATTACAGGCATAATTATACTGAGTGTAAGAAATCTAACAAGAAAAAAAGGGTCAAAACTTTTTTTTTTGGTCATTGTTTCACCTCTTGGTGAATTGAAAAACAAAACAATATATTCCAGTGGGAAATATTTGGATAAATATTGAAATGAGAAAATTTAACGGGGGAGGGGCCGCAGTACAGACTCAAGTAACCTAACCAAAGTAAAATGAAAGGAAAATTTTTTTTGACATGTGTATCCGAAATGTTAGAATAAAAGTTTTTGCGGTAAATTGATTTTATTGTGAACTAAAATAGAGGTTTTGAATTTAAAGAAGAGATATCGGCAAACAAAGAATGTATTTTCGAAAGAATGTAAAGTAAAAAATATATATATTCCCTACCGCTATAACATTAACGAAAGTAGTCTTTCCGCTGTATTGGAGGCCGACGAGTGTAAGTTCCATTTCTTCCTTCCAAAAGAGGGACTTAAACCAGTCCAAAATGCGATTGATTAAGGCCAACATTTTGAATTATATAAATTTATTTGCAATTATCTATATTGAAAATATTAAACAGTCGGGTTGTACACTCTTTTTTTGTTGATGATTATCCGTTTTTGACATGTAGCCATACGCACGACACAGATCGACTCCGTTTTTCAACTCTTGACAATTTTCTGTTGTACCCACCGTGCACAATCTATTGTCTCCAGGTTCTTGGACGCATGCGTCGAATTCGCCCCTAAAGAATGAAAGTTTGCACACAATTCAAAACGTGTATTTTATTATTTTTGAGAGGAAAATTTTAAAAAAGAGAAGAGAGAAAAATTTAGTTTCTTTTTTATCATGGTAGAATATTCTTCTGAATTTGAGTTTTTGGAAAATATTCGAAATTGGAAATTTGCAATGTCAGTCCCTAATTGTCAGTTAAAACTATGATTTTTAACTGATTCAAATTTAGAGAGTAACTAAAACAGTAATTAATTTAATTACTTTCCATAGTCAGCTACATAATGGTAGTTGAATTTTTCGACTAGGTTTTTTTTACTGTGCATATTTATAGTAGAAGTTGAAATATCTGTAATTTTGACACATTCTTGGCTTGTATTTTTTACTATTTTTTTATGCAAATTTTACTGTATCCAAATTAGTAAATTTTAGTAAAAACTATATTAAAATGCACTTCTGCTGTTGTAATATAAAAAATTGCTGCATACTCTCTGGATCTGAATTATTATTGTTTTCTACTAATTAAAGAGTAAATTAATTAAATAAACAAAATAATAATTAAAGTAATTTAACTTATTTTTAGTAAACAAAAAATACTAATTTAACAGCAGAAACTACTAACTTGATAGTCAAGTGTCAGCAAATTCAATTAGTGAATCTTAAGTTGTAAATTAATACTAATAATAACTAAAAAATAATTAATTAATATTTAAATTATCAAAAATGATGCATTCAAAATTAAATAAATAGTAAACTGTACCTATACTAATAAAACGGGTAAATTTTTACTATTTCAATTTGTAGTCAGTTAAAAAATTGCAAAGCAACATTGCTAAAAGTATCTGTTTTTTAATTAATTAAAAAAATATAATTTATTAACTAAATTTATACGAGCTTTTTAAGGTTTCCTAATAAAATTTTTTGCGTTTGGAAAAATTTCTTATTTAATTTATAATTCCCGCTATTTTATTCAAAGTTATCAATACAAAACACAAGATGTCTCTTAACTGCAGATTATCATTTGAATTTTGCATTCATTTCATATCAAGAAATTCAAGAGAATTTCAGCTTTTGTAAAATTATAAAAAAAATACTCTCTAAATCTGATAATTATTGGAATTGTTCTAGTAATAGTATAGGACCAGGAAACAATTTTATGACTAACAATTGTTAGTAAACGGAAGATAAAATTAGCTCAAAAAATAATTTATCGTCTTCTGCTCATTATCGGCTGTGGTTACTTTTTGTGAATTGAAAATTAAATTAATTTTGATGACCCAGATAATTATTGGAATTGCTCTTGTAATAGTTTAGGACCAGTAAAAAATATTTTTACTAACAATTGTTAGTAAACGGAAGATAAAATTCCCTCAAAAAATAATTTTTCCTCTTCTGCTGATTATCGGCTGTGGTTACTTTTTCTATTGTGAATTGTGAATTAAATAATTTTGATGACTCAGATAATTATTGAAATAGTTTTCTAGTAATAGTTTAGGACCAGTAAAAAAATTTTATGACAAACAATAGTGCTCGTTAACAGAAGATAAAATTCGATAAAAAAATATTTTTTCATCTTCTGCTGATTATCGGCTGTGGTTACTTTTTATGAATTGTGAATTAAATTAGTTTTTATGACCCAGCCAGTAATCGGAATTGTTCAAGCAATAGTTTAGGACCAGTAAAAAAATTTTATGACCAACAATTGTTAGTAAACGGAAGATAAAATTCGCTCAAAAAGTAATTTTTCGTCTTCTGCTCATTATCGGCTGTGGTTACTTTTTGTGAATTGAAAATTAAATTAATTTTGATGACCCAGATAATTATTGGAATTGCTCTTGTAATAGTTTAGGACCAGTAAAAAATATTTTGACTAACAATTGTTAGTAAACGGAAGATAAAGTTCCCTCAAAAAATAATTTTTCCTCTTCTGCTGATTATCGGCTGTGGTTACTTTTTCTTTTGTGAATTGTGAATTAAATAATTTTGATGACTCAGATAATTATTGAAATTGTTTTCTAGTAATAGTTTAGGACCAGTAAAAAAATTTTATGACAAACAATAGTGCTCGTTAACAGAAGATAAAATTCGATAAAAAAATATTTTTTCATCTTCTGCTGATTATCGGCTGTGGTTACTTTTTATGAATTGTGAATTAAATTAGTTTTTATGACCCAGCCAGTAATCGTAATTGTTCTAGCAATAGTTTAGGACCAGTAAAAAAATTTTATGACCAACAATTGTTAGTAAACGGAAGATAAAATTCGCTGAAAAAATAATTTTTTGTCTTCTGCTGATTATCGTCTGTGGTTACTTTTTGTGAATTGTGAATTAAATTAATTTTGATGACCCAGATAATTATTGGAATTGCTCTAGTAATATTTAAGGACCAGTTAAAAAAATTTTATGACTAACGGTACTTAGAAACTACTCAGATTTAATTTCTGTTTCAGAAAATAATTCTGTTTTAAAAAATGATAGTGGTCTTCAATTTTTTTAAAATTTTATTTTGGAGTCGATTTTGAAAATTAGGCCTTTTTTTATAATGAAAGGACTTTTCTGTTACAGAAGAGTTTTTTTTCCAAAACACGACTGTATTTTGAAACTGTTCAGAATTCATTTCTGTTTGTGAGGAACAGGATATGAGGCCAAAGATATAACAGAAAAAATTAGACAATATTTCTAAATGCAATATTATTCTATTTATTTTCCAAAAAGTCGTGTTGAGACATTTGTTTGTTTATTGTTTTTTTTCCTTTTATTAAAATCGCAGTTTATGCAAATAAACAATATTTCTCTTTGAATTCTAGGAAGCCCACTGCAAATATACTCCCTCTTTCTCTTTATTTCGTTGCCAGTTTAAAATTAATAAAACTAATTATTCTAATTGTAAATTATTTCTACACAACATGAATATTGTCTGATTTATTTTCTGATTGAATTCGTGTTTTTTCTATTATATTATACATCACACGCTTTTTAATAGTATATACTTTTTGTCTTCTATAAAAACATTATAAATGTTACATTGACTTTACAATTTTACATAATATAGAACACATTGATATTTATAATAATAAATTATTCGGTATCATTCTTTGCTCTTTTTGTTTCTTGTACTATTGGAATGACATTTATTATTCTGAAGACAGGAACACTATTTTGTTATTTATAAAATTTGTTATACATGTTTATTTGTTTTATCAGGTATTTAGACTTCTGCTATAAATTATCACTCGAATGCTACTTTTTCGTTTGATTTTTTCTCAAAAACATCTGCAGAGAGTTTAATTTAAATACATTTGTAAAAATGTGCATTTTAATTATAGCAATGATTGAACATTTTTTTAATAACAAAAATCAACTTAGGCTTCCTAGTAATTTTTTATGAATAAATTTTTGTATCAAACTTATGTAAGTTTGCTAACAGTTGTTGATAAAATTTCTAATAAAAACTTCAGACTTACAATAAGTTTGATGCAAATTATTTTATATGATACAATATTTATTTTATAAATATATTTTTTTAAAAGAATGAGCCCTTTTTAAGTTGTGACAAACATAAAAAAAAATAAATAGTTTAATATTTTTAAAAATTTCTTCATTTGAAACTCAATATTTATTTTAAATGCATTTAAAGTCCAAAAGAATGAACCAACTATAGAGAAATTCCCCACAAAATTGATTTATATATAAATAATGTATTATTTCCTTAAGTACATTGGATTAAAAAAAAAACTATTCGAGAGTACAAAGACACAAATTTTATAAAATTACCCATCTTTGTAAATTAATTTCACTTGTCCGTAATATTGGAATCTACATTGACCTTATAAATTAATTCATTTGTTTTTCTTCTAAAAAAAAAAATTACTTGCAACAAAATATTTTACATCAAAAGTTTGTCTGTTGATAAATTTTCAGTTTTCTATTTTTTACAATATTATTTTCTACCCCATTGAACAATTTCTTATGAAAATAGGATTTTTTCTACAATTATTAAATAGAGTAAATAAAAAATTATTAATATCTCCATTTATGGTGAAATTTCAATGTGTGACTATTTTACATTCTTTACCTTTAAATATCTAAATATTGATTATTTGTCTTTACAAAATTTACGTTTCGTATTTTTTTTCGAAATAATTTTCAAGAAAGCAAAATTTTAAACTTTGTCAAGTTCACATTTATAATCACAGTTTAGAAGAAAATATTTTCGTATTCAATTTTTTTTTTATATAATTTCTTAATTAATAATTTAAAAAAGAAAAAATTCGTATGGATAAAAAAATTTTGAAAAATAATATTGTCTTTTTCAATTGTCGATCATAAAGGTTGTGAACTTTATTTGATGTTATTTTTAAGTATCATAGTCCTTCGAAAATTGTTTTTTGGAAAAACTTAGATTTAAAATAATTTGTTGTAACCTTACAAGATTATATTATAAGCGATTAAAATAAATAATTAGAATGTTAAATATTGTAACGTGGGGTTAAAGATCATTTTTTTGTGTGTGTGTGTACACTTCATGCCTATTTGGTCATTGAAAATACAAAATGAATGTGTGGTTTGGTTTCCCAAATGAGAACTAGAAAAAAATGATTCTAAAATTTCCTTCACATAAATTGATCTTAAATACAAGTTGAAAATTCTATGCCAAAAGTTAGTCTACAGAGAATAGAGAATTTTCTTCTTTTTTTCCTTGCAATAAAATTAATTTCCAATAGGAGGCACTTATTCGCATTACAATAGTATAAAATTAACCTATCTATGTACAGAAAAAAGTCTATCCTAAAAAACAAGACGAGGGAAATGATTCGAAATAATAGAGAAATTGAGGAATTAAAGGAGATAAAAAAACGTTGAATTCCCCATTTTTTTTCTATATTAAATTTCGATATTTTTTCTCTCGTCTAAATCTTGATTTCGACTGCATTGAAATAAGCGATCTTCGGCTTTTTAAATTGCGTCTGCGTTCGTAAATTTTTTATGTACAAGAGTTGATGGTGAACGTGCCACCTTGAGCCGCTAGTCAGATAACTCTCAGAAGTAAAGAAAAAAGAAATTTACAGGAAATTAAAAGGAGTCATCTAGAAAAAAAACATCGAAGAAAAGGACGGTTTTTTTTTTGTTTCTTGCACCTTCGATTATAATATATAAATAGTATAAGTCAATTTTCTAGGTTTTGTTTGAGATTTTTTTGTTTTCAATTCTTCACAGCCGAGAAATGGGTTCACCCCAAAATGGAACACAATGATTCTATTTTTTTTATGAAATGATGTTGATAAATGACAATTGTTCAGTATTGTCAATTTAAAGTTCCAATTAACTTCTTCCAAGTTTCCTTTTTCTTGGATATTGTTTATATTTATCCTGTGGAAGATCCAATGGCACGTTTGGAAAAAAAAGCGAGGAGTCAGGTCCATATGAGCTGATGAATAAAAATGGGCGAGGATATTAATGATAAAAATGTTTCTCGGCCGTAACTCGGACGCGGAAATATTTTCCAGTCACCTAATAATGTGACGAGATCATTCAATTGAAGCGTAGGGTTTTCGTAGACTTAATTCAGTCGCTGCTATTGTTTCACCCTTAACATAATAGTCGGCAGCCTCTTTTCTTTTGACTCCATTTTCGCTTGTGCCATTTGGAATTTTACCATTTGAAATTCCATTGCTTGTGACTGTTGTTGTTGGTGTTGTTGTTGTTGATGATGATGATGATAATTTTGATGCTAAAAGTTTAGCTGCCCTGAGACTTCTCTTTTGGGCGTAGCTCTGTTGGTAGAATTCGTTAAAGAGGAAGAAGAACATGACTGCGTGTAGTCCAATCCACCAAACGAATGCTTTTGGATAATTGCAGTCGATGAAGAGAAGTTGGAAGGCATGCATCATGATGAATACAAATTGCAACATTTGGAGAGCGGTTAGATATTTCTTCCACCAAAGATAGGGTTGTACTCTGGGACCCAATGCGGCTAGAAGGTAGTACGAGTACATGATGATATGAACGAACGTGTTCAAAAGGCCGAAGAAAGTTGAATGACCGCCTAAAACAAGAAAGAAGCAGGAAATTATTTTGAGTTTTGTCCGAAACAAATCTTATCAGTTACACTCTGAAGAAATGCCTTCCTGGGTACATAAACGATAATTTGTTTTCGATTATTTTTGAAAACAATTTTGTACCATTACGTTTGAACTTAAAATCTTTTGTAGAATTTAGATTTTTAGAAGTAAAAATTTGTCTAAGTAGTACGAATTGTTAAAAGAAGAAGAAAATAGAAGCAAACAGATTAGTTCTACATTAACAATCCGTAATGCAAAAATCTTTTTTATTCATTTTTATCAAGCCCATCATAACCCAAACCCAAAGAGAAAGATCCTATCCGTAAGGATGTTTAGATGCATCTACAAAAGGCGAAAATTCTTTTTCTATTTTTAAATTTTTATGACTTTCAAGACAAGTTCTAAAAGATCATCTTTTTACTGTTTCGATAACTTTTCTTGAAACTAATCAAAAATCAAAAAAGAATGTTCGCATTTTGTACGTGCATCCAAATATTCTTACGGATGGAATCTTTCTCTTCATCAAAATCTGTCAAAAATAATTACTTTCTTTTAAATTTTACTGTTGCTTTTCATCATCACCCTTTTATTATTCACATTAAAACAATTATCATAATTCTAGAACAAACAACAAATTCTTAAAAGCATAATTCTTTTCTTCAAAATTAGCAGAAAGTTCCTACGAATCTTCAACTTTAAAGCAGCTTTGAATTTTTTATGATTGACAAATGATTTCGGTGTTCTAAAATAAATATTTTGGATTTGAAAAATTAGAAAAGTAAATATGTAAAAGTTGCAAAACTAAAAGCAAAAATTAAAATAGATAACTATTATTTATCATACCTGGAGTAAATTTAACGCCAAACCACACTGACATTGGCATACATCCGTGATGAATAACATGAAGTGTGGACACATGACTGTTCTTCTTTCTCAAAACGAAGAATATCTGTAAGATACAATATTATTGTCAATCAAATATTTAATAAACCTAATTTTATATATTTTACTTGATGCAAAAATTGAAAAAGGTTTTTCTCTATCAGTAAAGAATGTGCAGAAAACTTGTAAATCATTAGGAGATTAATTTTTTTTTGTTATCTCAATTAATAATGCAAATTGACATTTTGCTTTTGATATGTTATTTGTCTTTTAATATTTATAAATTTTTTTTTATATTTTATTTCATTAAAATAATACAATGATTTACATAATCTGTGAATCATTTGTACAAAGAGCATATCGAGTATTATATAAAAAGTTATTTAGAATTTATAAACTGTTCATGTTCACGTGTATATGAAAAGTCAAGTTTAAAGAATGATCGTTTAAAGTTTAAATTTTAATGGACATGTGTAAAATGATTTATAAAAAATGCAATAATTGTATTTGGTTACTGATAACGAATCCCTTTAAGAGTTAACCGGTTTGGAGAAGATTGACAAATGCAATTATTTTTGTGTGCGCTTCTTCCTGTTTCTCACGAATTCGTTATCATATTGAGGAAACTTTTTCGTAAAAAAAGTTATTCCTTTTTTTGACCATTTTGTTACACATTACTGCATTTTGCTTTTAGTGAATAATTTTTTTTTTAATACTGTACATGATATCTTGAGAATTTCAATGCAATTTGTATGATTATTAAAAAGTGAAGAAAAATGAATACATAACAAGGGGCAAGGGAAATGAAATTATTGTTAACCTTCAAAGATATATGTGTATACTTGAAGGTATCATTGAAATACAAGTATTTTTTTTATCACTTGAAATTCTTTTCCTTACTTTAAACATTTGTGTATGTTTTGTGGGAAAAAGAAGGCAATCAGCATACAAATAATGCTTTAACTTTATTATTAAGGGCCTAATTATGATTATGGTATTCAAAATAACTGTGTATAAAATCATCAGTTCTCTAAAATATAAGATTTTTTTTTACTGTTTGTTACCGAATTCTTTTTGATAATTTTGTGGTACAAAAATTTGCATTGAATATTTTTTTTAAATAAGTAGAGAAAAATTAATACTCACCGTGTCCATAAATTCAGTAAATTTAGAGAAATAATACCACCAGCAAGCGTGAACCATCTATAAATAATTAAAAACTTTAAAATTGGTAATTAAAAATTGATAAATTCGATGAGTTAGAAAAACACAAAAAAAAAGAATAACATAAATGATATTTGAAAAATTTTAAGCGTGCGGATTTTAAACAAATTTTCCCCCAATGATTTTTACTATTTGAACTAACTATTTTTGCTATTTTAGTAAATATTATAATTATTTTTGAAATATAGAAATAAGAAAATAAATTTTCTTGTCAGAATAGTAAAAAAAATGTAAACAATTAGTTTCGACTCCCAGAAGACTATATGCTAGAAAAAATAAATGCATTATTCTGTTGGTGATGTGCGTGACTAATATTTATATGTGTTGTCGTGTCAGGTACTTTATAGTATATAAAATATACGTTATCAATTGAAATTCTAATATTGTGGTCATCCATACAAATTGTATAAGTAATAAAATATGATGCCCACTATGTTCAAATATAATGTCGTGAGTCAGTAAATTCTAGAAATAGAGAAGCTAAAAATTCATATTCTGTATACATACCGCAGCATGTTATGTGGTGTTAATTGCATCAGGCAACTGTCTAACTACTTTTTTTTATTAGCATATCCAAAATATAAAGGTGTACGACTATTTTAGAAAAAAGAATTTCTAAAATGTTTATTACTTTTTTTACGGCAGGCAAAACTCTCTTATAAGAATTTTTTCCTTTTCAATACCCATATTATATTAATTATTGGAAAAACTTTGAAAAAATGTCCAAGAAGAAGATGAAGTAAAAACTCAGAAGATGCGAATATCAAATTTAATTTCTCATTACGCTATAAACTTACTGTCAGTAATGTAAATAATGCTCGAGTCATTTAAATGCAATTGGTATTCAGGTACTATTGACTTAAAATCAACGAGAGAATCGACAGAATGACGTCTAAAGTTACAATCTTTAGGTACTTGGGATTTTGTGCGCGTTTAAATTGCACATATAAATCGGGTAAACAAAGGAAGCTCTTTTTCACGAGAGTGACGTAGTTAGAAAAAAAAATACCTCAATAATGGCAATTAATCAAAGAAAGACATGAATGTGACGTTCAAAAGTAATATATGATGAGGAAGAAAATTCTCGATTGTTCTTCTTGACTTCAGTATTCTCGAAAGTACTAGAAAGAAACTTGGGGTTAGAAAAATGGTAATTGTACGAAATGTAAGAACCAAATTATTTTTATTCTTAAATAATCAAGATTTACATGGAAGGTAAAGGCATTTGTAATTTCCACAATCGAATTATGTTTACAGAAGACTGTAAAAGTTGTAAAACATTTAAATATAATAAAAACAAAATTCCCACGTAGAACCCATCACAATTTTTTGAGAATTTATTTAACGAGGATAAAAATTCCCTTTTTGTTTCAGATCTGTGAGTGATCGAAATTTCTAAAATCGTAAATATTTTTTTCTGGCCCGAAGATGAATGCAAAAATACGGATCTAAAATGGAAGTCGGTAATGGATGAAAACTGTAAGTTTTTATATTTTTAAAAATTTGTTTTTATTTATTATTTATTTTACTCTATATTGTTATCTGTTTTGAACGTCAAGTATTTGTTATATATCTAAACGTTTAGTAGAATTTACATTTCCTTGATATATTTAATCGACACGTGTTGGAAATAATTTCGCGTAATAAGATGTAATAATCAGTGTTGCTAACCTGGAAAACCTGGAAATGTCAGGGAATTTTGATCGAAATCCTGGAAAATTGTTGTTTTTTTTAAAGTTATTGTGTTTATTCTTGAAATCTGATTTCACTTAAATATTTAAAATTAATTAAATTTTAAAAGAATTGCGTTTGCAATTTTCATAAGTAGATATGAACTTGAAAAGATTTTGATTTAAAATTTTGTAAAATTTCAATTTTAAATGAATTTAATTAGAAATATAAAAAAACTTAGTTTTAAAAACTAAAATTCTTCTGAAATTAGTTAAAATTTTTTTAATATACATTTAATTGATTATTAAAAATACTGGAATTTTTGAAGAATTTTATTTAAAAACACCAAAACAAATTGAATTTTGATAAGCAATTACAAATGATTGCAGAAATTCAATTATTTTCAAAAATATTAGAATTTTTAACAGGAATTAAATTATTTTCAAATATTTGAATAATTCAATTATTTACATAAATAATTCTTCGAAAGAATTCAATTATGTCGATAAATAACAAAATTATTCCCGAAAATCCAATTTTTTTGAGGCATTTTAATAAAATTCTAGGCAAAATTCAATTATTTTTATAATTAACAATATTCATCACAAGAATAAATTCAATTATTTTTAAAACTAATACATTTCTTCTTGAAAAGTCAATTATTTAAAAAAATTCTAATAAAATCTATTTGTAAAATTGAAAAATTTGAACCAACGGAATAAAATTTCCAAACAGAATTCAATTATTTAAAAAAATTTTTGTAAAAATCATCGTAAGAATTCAATTATTTTCATGAATAATAGAAAATTCTCAGGAATTCAATTATTTAAAAATTTTAATAAAATTCTTTGCAAAGAATTATGTTTAAAAATTCACAAAAATTCTCGTCTTTAAAAAAAAATTATCCTCCGAAATTCAATTAGTTTCAAAACTTTTAATAAAATTCTTGGCAGAATTTCAATTATTTTTAATACAATTTTCATCAAATTTCTAAAAAAATGCAATTATTCTTAAAAATTTTATTAAAATTTGTCAAGAGAATTCAATTATTTAAAAATTGGTTAATTTCAAAATTGAAAATTTGAATTTGTTGAAAATTCAATTTTAAGAAACATTTAATTGTTTAATAAAATATTTATTTTTATATTTAAATAATTTAATTCTCGTACAATTTTTTAATAAATATTGATCTAAAAATTAATTTCAAATTAAAATCTTTGAAAATTTCAACTTTTCATACTTTTAATTAAAAATTCTATAGAATTAATTTTTCTCAATAAGTTTAAAGGAATTTTTTTTAATTATTTGAAGTTTTTAATTTCTAATATATTTAATTGAAGAATGTCAGAATAATCGAAATTTCGTAAAATTAAATTGTAAGCAAAAGAATTTGAAAATTCACAAAGAACTTTTACAAAAATTATTAAAAATAATTGACTTAAAGAAGAGTTCTAGTTGAAAATATTAGAAATGAATAATCGTTAATGATGAAAATAATTTTTGAAGAAGTTCCAGTAACAAAGTAGCAGGTTTTAATTATTATATGTTATTGATGTTTTCGAATAATTTTCGTTTTAAAAATCTGGAAAAGTTAAATGGTTAAATTTCAATTAGAATATTGAACTTTTAAGCTCGCTTTTAAGTGTTAAATAGTAAGTGTCGCAGAAATAATCAAGGAGTTGTTGATTGCATAGTTATGAATATATAGTTTAGCATTTTACGTTACTACATCATTAATTTGATGAAGCATAAAAACTCTATACTCTCTATAACTACAAGTGGCATGTAGTGTTTATATTATGTCTAATAAACATTGGCTGATGGTAATACCTTCACCTAGTTCCTATAGACGAGAAGAAATTATTCTACTGTAATGCAACGAAAAAAAAAATCAGGAAAGTGTTATCCACTCTCATCATTGTATTCTATCGAGAAGGAGAAAAAAATTCTTTTAAAAGAGGACATGAATCAAGATTTTTCTTTGCCCCCAAGCAATCTAATTTATCTTGCAATAATTTTTGTTTCAACAATTTCTAACTATATAGAAAACTAGGTTCATGTTTATTATTCGTTTTTTTTCGAATTATTACATCAGACTATTTTGAAAATATTCTATTATTTTCTGGTTTATGTCAATTTTTTCGAAATATAAACAATTATGTCGTTAGACATTTTTGGTGGATACTAAATCATAATGTTTAAATTATGCCACTTAAGGGTATGTGAATTAGTTTCTTGATCGTAAAAAAAATTTTCCAGTCGAAGTTCTTAATAGTCGTATAATAAAATTGGAAAATGTTAATGAGAGTCTCATTATGTTATTGAGAAATTAAACTCGTGTCTAGTATCTAACGGGAAAAGGAAATAGATCTAAATTTTTGTTTATCAAATTGGGAAAATTGTATTAATGGTTTTCTCTGTTTTACTTCTTCTTCTCCTTATATTTTCTGAATAGTTTTTCCCCCTTGATTTTGATTTTCAAAAATCATGATCAAAATTTCTATTCATACAAAACATGAATTTATTTATCCTGATCTACATCATATATAATTAGCATTCAAATTTATTATTTTTATAAAATGCATGCAATTTGGGCAAATATTTTATGAGTGAGTAGCATGGGTAAAAAAAGTTATTTTGAGATGCATTACTAGAATAAACCCACCCTTAGTACTTGGGGTCGGTCGCTGTAGTCTACTGGCTGACACCTTAGAGAATACTCCCCGTTCAGCCATCCGGACATTCCTATCTGCAACCACAACCGTCCAAAAGGCCATTGCCAATCAGATTCAAGAAAAAATTTAAAAAAAAAAACAAAAAAAAATCATAACCATCACCTTATTGCATTTCAACCATCTACCAAACCTTAAAGTATATCATATATTTTACAGCACCGTTTATTTAAAGTTTAAAGAAAATAAAAACGTCATTTCTCTGTACAATTTATATATTAAAAAATTATCTGTATATTGTTATTTTTTAAATTTGTATTGTGTTGTGTACGCGAAAATGCAAAACATACACATACACCTGGTATTTGTCTCTTGGACGAGGTCGTTTCGGCATCGAGGTGATGTAAAGAGAATTTCACGTGCGAACGTAACATACGTAATAAATTATACGTTACACACGAAACGCACCAAGTATGATTATGTTCAACGTTCTTGTTTTTTCTAATAGACGAAAAAAAAGAGAAAAAAAAAATTGTTAAACATGTTGCATCAAGTTTTGTGTTATATTGTTTCAAAATAAATTATATTTTTATGCTGAAATAATTCTATTTTTGACGGAGAAAATAATAGAAAGAGGCGCGTGATTTTTTTACGGAAATTTTTAATCGGTTAACATTTATTTGACCTGAATATTAGTATCTTTAATTTGCCTTTGACCTAAATGAGAATTGAAATTGTTTTTTTCACCTGATTCTTCTTTAACCTATTTTTTATTGAGTTAATACTTACACTAAAAAAAAAAAATTAATTGATTCAAATAACCGATTAATTGACTATTATCAATTAAATATTTACTTGAATCAAATAATATTTATTGGAGTCAATTAAATGGTATTTGAACCAATAATTTCAGTATTTGAAGCAAATATGAACTGAACCATTTAATTGACTCCAATAAATATTATTTGATTCAATTAAATATTTAATTGATAATAGTCAATTAATCGGTTATTTGAATCGAGTAAATTTTTTTTTTCAGTGTAAGCAAAGAATTATTTATTTATTTATCTTTAATTCAGGATGTCTACTAACCGGGAAATAGCCGGGAAATAAATTTGACCTGAAAAAACAGGGAATAAGTCAGGAATTTTATGCCAAACCGGAAATTTTTTTACCAAATTAAAAATAGTTTTATTATTTTAATTTGTTTTTAAAAAATCGCTTTTTATTTCAATTTTTATAGATATTTATACTGTTCTCTAAATTTGAATTAGTTCAAAATAATTAATTTGATAGTAAAAAATAAGTTACTGATTGAAATATAGTATGTAAATAAATTTTTAAAAAATGATCGAATTAATAGAAATTTTGTGAAATACAATTGAAAATAATTCAATTTGTTAAAGAATTTCATTAAAAACTTTTTAACAAATAGAATTTTCAAAGTATTTTAATCTTATAATTGATAAATAATTGAATTTTATAAAGAGTCAGATTCTAATGTATTTATGTTTCTTAGTGCGAAGATTAATAATTAAAATTTTTATTAGTTAATTTCAAAAAAGATACACACTTAAATTTTTTTAATAAAATTGAATTTTAACAAAGTTTTTTTGAAAATTGTGAAAAATAATATTTTTGAAATTTTTCAATTCTATTGTTTCAAGATAATTGAATTTTTATAAACAAATAATTGAAAATTTTGGAAATAATTTAAATTTCTTTACATACTATTAAAAATAATTAACTTCTTTTAAAGAATTTTATGTTTTTTTCGAAAATAATCAAGAGAAGTTAGTCACTGTAATTATAATTTTATTTTAAAAAATTTCTTCGCAATATATTCAATTATTTTCACAACTAGTACAACTCCAGGGTGTCTACTAACCGGGAAATAACCGGGAATTTTATTTGACCGGGAAAAACCGGGAATTAGCCGGGAATTTTATACCGAACCGGGAATTTTTTCACAAAAATTAAAAAAGTTTTATTATTTTAATTTGTTTTTAAAAAATCAATTTTTATTTCAATTTTTATAGATATTTATACTGTTCTCTAAATTTAAGTTAGTTAAAAATAATTAATTTGATGATAAAAAATCAGTTACCAATTCAAATATATTATGTAAATAAATTTAAAAAAAATTATGGAGTTAATAGAAATATTGTGAAATTCGACTGAAAATATGTAATTAAATTTGTTAAAGAAATTCATTAGAAACTTTTTAACAAATAGAATTTTCAAAGTATTTTAATTTAATAATTGATTAATAATTGAATATTATAAAGAGTAAAATTCTAATGTATTCATGTTTCTTACTGCGAAGATTAATAATTAAAATTTTTATTAGTTAATTTAAAAAAATATACATACTTAAAATTGTTTAATGAAATTGAACTTTCGCAAAATTTTTTTTAAATCTAAAAAATAAAATTGTTGTAATTTTTCAATTCTATTGTTTCAAGATAATTGAATTTTTCTAAACAAATCATTGAAATTTTTTTACTTTTTTTGAAAAATAATTGAATTTTTTAAAAGAATTTTATTTAAATTTTTTGAAAATAATCAAGGGAAGTTAGTGACCATAATTATAATTTTATTTTTAAAATTTTAAGTCCCTCTTACAGTTTTAAATCAATTTTTTGCTTCTAAAAATTATACTATTCTATTATTATTTAATAATTATAATTATTGAACTTCTCTTAAATTGTTATCATTTTAAATTTCTGAATGTTCAAATAAATGATATTTATTTATTTCTTGAGCAAATTAAATGTTTATTACATATTAAGTAAATAATTAATTATTGCTGCTTATTGTTTTCAAAAATTTTAATAAAATTCTTCACAAAAATTAAATTATTTTCATAAATAATAGCATTCTTTGGAAGGATTCAATTATTTTTATAAATAGTAAAATTCTTTGCAGAAGTTCAATTATTATCAATGTAATTTTAATAAAATTGAAAAATCCAATTTTCAATTATAATTATAAAGAGACAAGATTATTATTTTTAAAAACTTGAAAAAATTCTTTGTTTAATTCAAGTATTTTCCAAGTTTTTAATTAAAATTATTGAAAAAAACATTATTTTCAGAAAATTTAATGATTTATTTATGTTTAAAATCAAATTTAAATTTACATTTGATAAGAAAAAAAACCGGGAAAAAATTAGGATATAGCCGGGAAAAACCGGGAAATAACCGGGAATTTTGTTAAACGAAAATAGTAGACACCCTGAACTCGTTGCAGAATTTAAATTATTTTTAATACAATTTTTATCAAATTCCTCGAAAGATGTAATTATTCTTAAAAATTTTATTAAAGTTCATCGAAAGAATTCAATTGTTTCTAGAAACTGAAAAAAAATCTTCACAAGAATTCAATTATTTTCATAAATTTCCATAAAATTCTAAAAAAAAAACAATTCAATTATTTTCAAAAGTAATAAAATTCTTCGTTAAAATTCAATTATTTAAAATTTTTTTTTTAAATTCTCCTGAAAATTTCAATTATCTTTATAAATAATTAAATTGTTCTTCACAATTCAATTATTTTCAAAAATTTTAATAAATTTCTACTCAAACATTTAATTATTTTCATAAATTTTATGACATTTTCATTCATTGAAAGGATTCAATTATTTTTATAAATAGTAAAATTTTTTGCAGAAATTCATTTTAATAAAATAGAATTAATCAAATTTTCAATTATAATTATGAACAGACAAGATTATTTTAAAAAGTTGAAAAAATTCTTTGTTTAATTCAATTATTTTACAAATTTTTAATTAAAATTATTAAAAAAAACATTATTTTCAAAAATTTAAAGAAATTTGTCAAAAGAATTTAATTATTCATAAAAACTAATAAAAAATTTGGAAGACATTTGTAGATTTATTTATGTTCGAAATGAAATAAATTTAAATTTGATGAGAAAAAAAACCGGGAAAAATTTTAGGACAAAGCCGAGAAAAACAGGGAAATAACCGGGAATTTTGTTGAACGAAAATAGTAGATACCCTGTAATTATTTTAATTAAATTTACTTTCTTAATTTTAATTAGTAAAAATATTTACTAATTTGAATTAGTGATTGACTTTTTGCTTTTGAATTAGTAAAATTTACTAATAAATTAGTAGAATTTACTAATAAATTAGTAAAATTTACTAATAAATTAGTAAAATTTACTAAGAAATTAGTAGAATTTACTAATAAATTAGTAAAATTTACTACTAAAATTAGTTGAAATTACTATTTATTAATAAAATTTACTAAGGAATTAGTTGAAATTGCTATCTATTAGTAAAATTTACAAATTCAAAAGCAAAAAGTCAGTTACTAATTCAAATTAATAAAGATTTTTACTAATTCAATTTTAGAGAGTGAGAAAAAATTAATTTTGTTATCTTATAAAATTCAAGTGAAGTAGTTTTATTTTTTTTTAAATTAGACTACATTTGTTTTTTTTTTAAAACTTGAATATAGAGATGTAAGTCGTTACTAATCTTAAGAATTCAAGATCAATTGACATATCTAGTGTTTACATACGAAATTAAGTGGTTTTTTTCAACGGCAAAAACTTGACGATTTAATTAATTTTGCAAATATTATTTTATGATTATTACCGGCTTAAAAAATATGAATTTTAATTCTAAAGGAATGTTTGTTTTCATCATCTAAAGCAATTTCTCTTTTAGAACCTTGAATTTAGATTTTTGTTCTTCAATACTCAAAAAAATTAACACCTTCGAATTCCTGTGACGATTTCTAAAAATTTTTATTTCCTTCATAAAATAGATCTATAAAATAGAAATTTTTCTCAAATCATTAACATTTTTATCGGCGCATTTGAAATGTGAATAAAAAATCGATTTTAATTTTATAAAAAATTTGCAAATAGATTTCTATTTGCAAATTTTTTTTTAGCGTATATGAGAAATGACGTTTTTGAAATAAATAATAATTAGAGGGGAAAAAATACAAGGGCTATAATATTAATAATTTGCTATCAATAAGTACTACATTTTGTAAATCTAACTAAATTGTATAGTAATGTGGAAGTAGGTTGAATTAAAAATAGTAAAAGAAAGGATTAAATTTAGAATTTTGTTTAATTTAATCATTTTTAAAAGAATCGGTTAAATAAATTAAGTTAATAAATAAATTAAATAGTAAATCAAATATTAATTTATTCATTTTCATTTATAATTTCTAATACTTCCACATTACTATATTTTATAGTAAATTTGTTAGTCTAATCATTCAAAGTTACAAGAATTTTTTCACGCATGAATTCAAAAATTTTATTTCTTTTTAAAATAATTTTTTATTAGTTTTTATTATGGAAGCAATCAACTATTTTAAAATTTATTCTTTAATAGTATTTTTTTTGTTAATTTTATAACTTTTTTTCATTTTGTAATCTTAAAAGTAACATTTTACAATAAAATGAAATTTTAATATTTAATCAGTTTTGAAAAACATATTTTATTGCTTTTTGATTATATTTTCTAATTTCCAGCAATATATCATTAGAAAAAGAGAATAGTTGTTAAATAAATTGATTCATAATGAGCAGATGTTAATTATTTTGTCAGAGTTGATGTTCTTAAAAACTTTTCTTTTTAGAAAAATTTTTTTTTTTTTTTTTAATTTTTAAACTGAGTTTTTATTTCTTGAATCAAAGGCATTTATTTCTGCGATTATTTAACTTGTTTGCGCAAAATAAAAAATCCAATCTATCATTAAAGAAAAATGTTAAATAATTATAATCTTTTTATATTCGACAAATAAATATAGAATTCATGCGCGAAAAAACGAAAATAAGTAGCTGAAAGAATGGTAAAGAGATTAAAAAAACCAAAAATCGAAATTGCAATTTGGAGTAAATAGAAGCTGGATCATGAATAATACTATCAATAAATACAGCAATCCAATATAAATAAGGGTCCCAGCCGTGCAGGTAGATGTTCGTCGGTAGTGAATCTCGTTGGTGAATCGTTGTTTTCTTTTATTATGTAGAGTCGAGGCGCGTCTCCTGCGAAATGAATACAAATTTTGCTTACCCTCACTGCACTATGGCTGCGGGTATAATCCACTGGTTGACAGCGAAAGCTGTATTGTCTCCACCAGCCACCCATCAGGCACTGCATCCCCCAAAATTTATATTATTTGCCCTTTTTTTTTTGACATTTTTATTACAAAAAAAAAACTTTACCCAAATAGAGTCATCAAACTCGTAAACGTACAATTAGAAAATTTTCAAAATTTAGTCTTTAAACCAAATCTGTCTAGGTATATTCATCATTATCAACTTTTTTTTAGTCCCACGATGAATTTTTTAGAAATTTTTGTCTCGAATCTTTCATAAATTTTGATCGCGACTCTAATTATGCAAGCATAAACAAATTGAACGCGTTGAGAATTTTAAATTCTTGCAACTAAGAGGAAAAATCGTGACTTCTTTATATGTACAGACTGAATTTCTTCTGTTATAAATTCTTGGAGTGATTTTTTTTTCGAGCATTAAGTAGATTTGTATAACGAGTTATTTGTAAAAATTTCTATTTATATTTATCATTACTATTACTATGATAATTTTGACAATTTTAGACGTAGTTTGATGACCCGAATGGAAAGAATTATTCTGCTAAAATTTGGTTATAATTTTTTTTAAATTGGGTAAGTAGTATTTAAGTACATTTGGTACATTTGGTACAAATTGATGGTTGAAATTTTTAATTGGTGTATAGTAGAAAAGAAAAAAAAATGATTTAATGGAATAGTTGGGTCCTACCTCATAAAAAAGCCACGCTGAGAATATGACTTGAAATAAATTATAAAATATTAGGACATTTTGAAGTTGAAAGGGCTTCCTGTTTTCCATTAGTTTTGGTCCTAGAACTTTAACTGTGTATATGTAGGAGAGACAAATAGCCAATGTTGGGAAGGGAGAACTCATCAGAAACCAACCAGCTGTCCTTGAATCTGAAAAAAAAGTTAAAATTAGACTCATTTTTTCAAATTTTGGTTGAAATGGTGCGAAAATGGTGATGTTGGTCAAGTTTTTCGTAAAATAGAAGAGATATTTTTGTTTTTTTGTTAGCATTCGCTTGTTTGTTAACTAAACAAAGTGCCACTGCCATTTTTTTCCAATTGGATTGAGTTTTAGTTCGATTTCTGAATTATCGACTCTTTTTCTATTTTTACCACTGTCGGTAAATAAGTTTCCTATTAAAGATGTTTTCTGATATTTTTTCTAATTTTTTTCTAAAATTTTTTCTATATTCTTTTCTATGAAGAAAATTTGATTCTTCTGAATGGAAATTTACTTCTTTTGAATGAAAAACAAAAGTTCGTTGCACTAATTTTTCCTTGTATGTAAATTACACTCTTTTTGAAAAAAAAATTCGGTTATAAAAATGATTTGCGTAAACCTTGAAAGTTTCTCCTCTACTTTATTTTGACCTTGCAATTTGGTACAATCTCCTCTCTTAATTCTCTTCTCAGAACAATTTTCAATTGCATATCAGGTGTGTAAAGCAAGTACCTATCAATTCTCGCAATTTTTATAAACTACAAAAGGAGACCAGACCCTTTTATATTTCTTGTCATTATTTTACAATGATTTCTCGAGAATCATTATATAGAACTCATATGTTAAAGGATTAACGCATTTAAGGGCGAATATTATAATTAAATTAAAAAAAAAAATAAAATAAAACTAAAAGAGAAAGAAAACACTGTAAATAATAATGAAAGAAGGATATTTAACCATTCAAGGTGTGGTCTTCTGTTAAAAAGTCTCAAGGATAAACCCGTTAATAAAAACCCGAAAGGACCTTGTCAGCGAGAGCAATGCTCTTTCTCATATACATATATACACATAAAACTATTGTGAGATTTTCTATTTTGAAAATAATTACAATTGTCGGTTTTCTTTGGAAATGAAAAAAATTGTACAAAATCAGTACAGATTTTGAGGGAAAAAATATTTTTTTTCTTTTTTGTCTTTCTTCACTGAATTTTATTTTCTACTGAATAAAAAATTGATTATCGTCTAAACCAGAAACGAATTAATTACAGGGTTGCCACAAGTCAGGGAATTCAGGGAAAAGTCAGGGATTTTTTATTAAAAGTACTGGAAAAAAATTTAAGTTTTAGAATTTATAAGAAAATTCTGAATTTTGCTGTCTTTTTTGTTTCCCTCACAAACTATGAAATTGACAAGAATTTTAATACAAAACTTTCAATTTTTTCTGTTTCTGACAATAATTTCTTTTTAAATAACTTAATTCTTCAAGAACTATCATAAAATTATTACTTAGAAATTATTTAATGAATAATTTTACTTAAAAATTTTCAAAATTAATTAGATTTCAAAAGAGTTGCGTTTAAAATCTGCATAAATAGATAAACTTCAAAGGCTTCAATATGAAATTTTAAAAAATTTCAATTTTTAATGAATTTAAATAGAAATTTTAAAAACAACTGATTACAGAAATTTAATTATTTTCAAATATTTATAAACATTCTCGTCAAAATTTCAATTATTTTTATAAATAATACAATTCTTCTCCGTAATTCAATTATTTTCAAAAAATTTAATAAAATTCTTGGAAAAATTTCAATTATTTTCATAAATTTTCCTCATTTCAATTATTTTTAATATCTATTATTTTAATAAAATTTCCAAAAGAATTCAATTATTTAAACGAAATTTTAATAAAAATTTCACAGGAATAGTTCTGAGAAATTCAATTATTTCGCAAAATTTAAACAAAATTCTTTTAAAAATTCTATTATTTAAAAAAATTTTGACAAGATTTAGTTAATAAAATTTCAATTTTAATAAAATTTTTCTATTCAATTCAAATATTTTCAATACAATTCTTCTTAAGAATTCAATTATTTTCACAAATAATACATTTTTTTATGGGAATTGAATTATTTGGAAAAAATTTGAATAAAATTCTTCGTAAGAAATCAATTATTTTCATAAATAATAAAATTTTTCTCGAGAATTCAATTATTTCAAAAATTTTGATAAAATGCTTTATAAATTTGAAAAATTATAATAAAATTGACTATAGAATACAATTATTTTCGTAAAATATAAAATTCCTTATAGGAATTACAATTTTACTGTCAAAAAAGTTTGTAAAAATCTTCGAAATAATTCAATTATTTTCTTAAAAAATAAAATTCTTCTCAAGAATTCAATTTTTTTCAAAAATGAAACTTTTCACAAGAATTCAATTATTTAAAAAAAAAAATTAATAAAATTCTTTGTCAGATTTCAATTATTTTAATATAAAATTTTTAATTTTTTAATTTTTTAATGAAATTTTGTCGATAGAATTTAATTATTTTTAAAATGTTATAAAAAATTCTGAGAAATTCAATTATTTAAAAAATTTGAATAAAATTCTTCACAAGAAATTAATTAATATCATAAATAATAATATTTTTCTCCGGAATTCAATTATTTTCACAAATGAAATTTTTCACAGGAATTGAATTCTTTAAAAATTTTTTTAATAAAATTCGTTGCAAGAATTAAATTACTTTTATAAATAACAATATTTATAGCAGAGTTTCAATTATTTTTTATGTACAATTTTACATAAACTGATTGAAAATTGCATTTATTCTTTATATCTAATTTTTTTTAAATTCGCCGGAAGAATTCAATTATTTTTAGAATTTTTTTATAAATTTCTTCAAAAAAAAATTCAATTTTAAGAAATATTCAATTATTTAATACATTATTTATTTTTGCATTTAAATAATTGAATTCTCGAAAAATTTTCTAATAAAAATTGATTAAAAATGAATTTCACTTAAAATTTTTAATTATAATTGAATATTAAAAGCATCATAGCGTGAATTTTTTATAAATAAGTGAATTTTGAAAAGGGTTCAAAAATTAAAATCTTTGAAAATTTAAATTTATAGTTGCAATTTCAGGGTGGCCGCTGGACCGGGAAACCGGGAAAACCGGGAAATGACAGTGAATTTTTTTGGACAGGGAAAAACCGGGAAATGACAGTGAATTTTGATCTTGACCGGGATTTTGGAATTTTTTTTTTAAAAACACACATTACTTTGTGAGAAAAAATAGAAATATTTATTTTAAGATTTAGGTATTAACTATATTTCATTAAAAAAGATTGAATGATCTTCTATAAAATCTATTTATATTTTGTCAGAGAATTTTATAAAAAGTACTAAAAAATATTCAATTTCTAGAATTTATAAGAAAATTATGAATTTTGCTGTCCAACGTAACAGACTTAGAAAAAGAAAATATTAAATTTAATTTTAAATTCTTTCTATTTCTAACAATAATTAAACAAAATATAATTTTAATTAAATTTGTCAAAAAAATTTCAAAGAGAAAAAATTTCACATCCTATAAAATAATGAAAAATAAATCATTTTAAAAATTTTTTGCAATTAATATTATAACAAAACAAATAAGAATTATTAAAAATTTGAACTAATTAGAACAAAAGTGATACGAAATTTATAAAAATGAATTTTTGAATAATAAATAAAGTAAATAAAAATAAATAAAATTTCTTTTCTTAGAAAAGAAATTTTAAAAAACCGTATTTTTCATTAATATCAATTAGTTTTTTTACAATTATTCATAAGCAAATTTTTCGATTTTTTTGAATGTTAAATTAATATCATACTAATATTATTATAGATTGAATTTTAAAAAATTTCAAATTGAAGTTTTAGAAAAGTTAAATTTTAAAAGATTTTAATTAAAAATTCTGAATAATTTAGTCTTTAAAAATATTTTTATTCACATTTTCTCAAATTAGTTATGTTTTTAAATATGTAATATTTAATTGAAAAATTTTCAAATTAATCAAAATTTCATGAAATTGTCTTGTAAACAAGTGGATTTTAGAAATATTTTAGTTATTTTTAGAATATAATTGAATTGAAATTTTGAAAATAATTTTTAATAAGTTGCAGTAGCAATTCTTAAAAATTATTCAAATTTAAAGGATTTGAAATTTGAATTTTTTTTTGAAATTTGAATACCTTCTATATGGAAAAATAATGGATAATAATTAAATATTTATTTAAAAAAATCTATTTAAGTTCAAAATTATTTTTAGAGTAAACTAAAATATTTTTAGGGTTTGGGAAAAAGTCAAAGTTTTGTCTAAAAATCAGGAAATTCTTTCAATCTTTCATGGAATAATTTATTTTCAGAGTTATTATTTATGACCGGGAAAAATAATTTATGACCGGGAATGGACCGGGAAATGACCGTGAATTTTTTTTTACAAAAAAAGTGGCCACCCTGTGCAATATTCTTATAATATAAAATAATGATTTTATCACTTTGTCATTTAAAAAAAAGAACTCCATCAAAATATGTCAATAGTAAAAATAATAATAATATTAATATTATAACAAAAATGAAGAAAATAATAAAATAATTTTTCTAAATAAGTTTTACGAAACATAAATTTTTTTTAACGTCATGATGCTTATTGCGATTATCAAAAATGCTAAACTATATCGTTTTGCGACATCTTATATTTTAAAAATATTTTTAAAAAAACAAAATAAATAAATACATAGTCGAAAGTTTTCTAGAAAAACAAATAACGTTTTTTTATCAGCTACATGCGTCAATTTAGCGGAAAATTTAAAACTTGAACAATGAATAAATATTTTATTTTTTCAATATAATGATAAAGAAAATAAACACGCTGAATGTAAGGCTAGAAAATAATTATTATTGATGAAAAAACAGGAAAATTGAAGTTGAAAACTTATTTTATCTATAATTAAAAACTAAACTATTGTACGCACATATTTTTCTTTATATAATTCTTTTTTTTTTTTTTTTGAGTTATTAGCATGACAATTTGTGTGTTTTTCTTTAAAAAAGAAGAGCTGGTTTAAAAAAAAGAGAACAATAAATATAAAAATTAAATAAAAAGAAAAGAGAATATATCGTATTTCTTAGGAATATTAATTAAATATTTGAAGTAGTTTCCGTTCTTTTAAATATATGAAACAGGAAAAAATCCTGTTCAACAAAAATCTATGTACAAATATTTTAAAGTGTAATGTTATGCAAAGTTTTTTTTCTATTTTTGCGTAATTTTTGACAAAGATTAACCGATGACAAGATCCCATTAGGACTCAGTTTTTTTGAACTCGAATTTAAAAGTACTGTGTATTGATTGTTTTAAAAGCAAGCGGAAAAGAATTATATTCCTTCCTTGAATTGTAAGCACACTTAATTAGTGAATTTTGAAATTGAATTAATTATTCAATATAAAATTTTTATGAGACTACGTCAGTTGGTACACTAATTACTGACGTCGTCCTTTTTTTTTTTTAAATCAAAATTAGCATTTAAATCAAAATTACTTTTCATTTGCATTGAAATTTATTTTCACGATTTATTAAAATTGCTCGTGCGTTAATTTAAATTTTCGAAAAAAATCATTCAGTTTACAAAGTATATCTCATTAACTTAAATCATATAAATAATCATTATGATTTAAAATTATTATCATGAGGAAAATCATGAAATTATCCTCATTGTCAATTAATTAGACGATAAAATATTTTAAAAATCCAGTTGATCAAGATTTATTGAACCAACAGGAAGGTCGCACTCACGGAGTAACCGACCTTCTGTTACCTTCAAACTATCGCGACTTCCCTTTCCTTTACTTGCAATGAATATAAAGAGAGACAGAAAAAAAGTATCACAGATAAAAAAATAAGTGAATGCAAAAAAATTTTGCTGAAAAAAAATTATTATAGGAATAAAAAATTTGTAATTAATTTATTATAAGAATAGAAGTTGTAATTAATTTATAGTTAACTAATTATTAATTATATCGTCTATAATTATCTTAATAATGATTAATTGCTGTGCAATAATTAATTAATAACAAATTAATTTATTATTAGTTGATGAATAATTAAACTCTAATTAAGTAATTATTAATTATATAATTAGTTTGTGCTGTTGATAAATAATTAACTAATTATTAATTAATTTGCACTGTTAATATTTAATTTACTAATTAGTTTATAAATTTTAATTAGTAAAAATGTTTACTAAGAATTAATGAGTGACTTTTTGGTTTTTTTTCTTTAAGTACCTTTCTTTGGAGCCTGTTGCTATTTTTTTTTTTATTTATTTATAAGTTATAATTATTACAGGGCTCGAACTAGGTCCGTAAATTTGCTTCAAGTCCGTGAAAGTCCGTTTTAAAAAAAAGGTCCGTAAAGTTCGTAATTTGATTGAGAAGAAACGAAAAGTTCGTAAATTGTACGATACAATTTGGAGAATTTTAGAGAAATTAAAATTTTTTTTTAGAGAAAAAAAACAAATGATTGCAGAAATTCAATTATCCTCAAAATGTTTTAAAATTTCTTGACAAAATTTGAATTATCTTTGGAAATAAAAAAATTCTTCTCCGAAATTAAATTATTTTCAAAAATTTTCCTCAATCAATGATTTTAAAAATTTACTAATTTTAATAAAAATGTCCTAAAGAATTCAATTATTTAAAAAAAATTTAATAAAATTCTACACAAACCTTTAATTATTTTTATAAATAAAATAATAAAAATTTCACAGGAATTCAATTATTTGCAAATTTTTTTATAAATTTTTTCACAATAATTCAATTATTTTCATAAAATAATAAAAAATTTTACAGAAATTAAATTATTTACAAATTTTTCATAAATTTCTCCGCAATCATTGAATTATTTTCGTAACTAATAAAATTTTTTACAGGGATTCAATTATTTTCGTCAATAATAAAATTCTTTTTAGGAATTCAATTATTTTCATAAATAATAAAACTCTTTGCAGAATTTCAATTATTCTCAATACAATTTTAATTGAATTCCTTGAAAAATGGCATTATTCTTAAAAATTTTAACGCAATTCTTCGAAAAAATTCAATTATCTTGATAATATATATAACAAAAATTTTCCCAGAAATTCAATTATTTTCAGGAGTTTTAATAAAAATTTTTGCAAAATTCAATTATTTCCAAAGTAATAAAATTTCTCGTAGTAATTCAATTTTTTGCAGGAATTCAACTATTTTCAAAAGAAATAAAATTCTTCTTGGGAATTCAATTATTTTCAGGAATTAATAAAATTTATTGTAAAAATCAATTATTTTCATAAATAACAAAAGAATTCATTGAGTTATCTTCAAAAGTGGGTAATAAAATTCTTTGCAGAAATTCAATTATTTATAAAAATTTGAAAAAAAATCTCGCTAAAATTTCAATTATATCTTTATAAATCGCAAAATTTTTGGACAAAAAATTCAATTATTTTCAGTACAATTTTAATTGAATTCCTGCAAAGAATTCAATTATTCTTAAAAATTATATTATAGTTCGTCGAAAGAATTCAATTATTCTTAAAAATAATATTAAAATTCGTGGAGAGAATTCAATTATTTAAAAATTTGTTGATAAAACTCTTGATGAGAAATCAATTAAGAAACATTCAATTATCCAATAAATTATTTATTTTCATTGAAATAAATATTTTTATTAAAATTAATATTTTAGAATTAATTTATAATTAAATTTATTAAAGTTTATCAACATTTGGCTTCTGAAAAATTTAGTTGAGCTTTGAAGATATTTTTTTTTCCTTCTGACATTACACTTGACATTAAAATACAAAGTTTGTGTTTTTTTGTATACGTAATATGAAATCAGTTTCTCTTTTCTCTCTCTTTTTTTTCTGTGAAATAACACACGTGAAAAGTAAATATAATGAAAATGAATGAAGTTGCGAATTGATACCTTCATCATAAGTAGACATAATTATTAGGCATTTAATTCTCTATGATTTAGAATTTCTTGGGAAAATGTGTGGCAAACAATAGTATATTAGTAATGTGATTGGAAGAAAAAGTACGTTACCTGCATTTTTATCCAGAATCTCGTGAAACCGGTCCACGTAGTGCATTACGAGGGCCATGTTTGAGTTAAAGCCTTCACACGAGGCCTATGTTTAATATTATAATGCAACTAACGTTTCCTGCTGAGATCCGGAAACCCTTCCCTAAAACAAAGAACATAAATGACAAATGAAAAATCAATAATAAAACGCACTAATAATATAAGTCATTAGATTTCTTTGTGGAGAATATATTATTATGATTTATGAAAAGTAAACATTATTGTAATTAATTTCATGTGATATAATAATATATTGTGTTACAATAATGTAACGTGAAAAATTATTTTAGTGTTTTATTTTATTTTACTATTATTTTGGTAGGGTATTTTTATTTTTATTATTATCATCATTATTATTGTACGGGAAAAAAATTCACCTGGAACAGCGATAAGTTTCTATAGATTAACGAAACTCTCAACTGAAACAACTAAAAATTTCGCTAATTTAGTAAAATTTGTATAGCTGTTCCAGATAAAATTTTGTTCCGTTGTGATTATTATTATTATTATTAGCAATTTTAATTTATTTTTTTGAAAATTCACTCATTGAATTTTAATATTTGCAATACAATTTTAATAAAAATTCACAAAAGGATTAAATTATTTAAAAAAATTTATTAAAAAATTTTTCGAAAGAATTCAATTATTTTTTGAAATTTTAATAGAATTCTTCGAAATAATTCAATAATTTTTGTAAATAGTAAAATTCTTCCGAACAATTGAATGATTTTTATAAATAATAATATTCTTATGAAGAATTATTGAATTCTTTTCAATTCAAATTTAATAAAATTTCTCAAAATGATTCAACTATTTTTATTCTAGAATGAAAGTAAAAAATAAAATTTAATTATAAATAAAAAATTTCTTTGTGTACATTTAATTATTTTTAGTAGAATTTTCATAAAATTTCTCAAAATAATTGAATTATTTTCAAAAATTGTAATAAAATTCTAAAAAAATTCAATTATTTCCAAAAAAATTTTCAAAAATTCAATAGATAAATTTTTAATTACAACTATTAACATACTCCATTATTTTAAAAGAAATTCTTCAAATCAATTACATTTTTTTTCAAAAATTTTAATATAATTCTTCTCAGGAATTCAATTATTATTTTCAATACAATTTTAATAAAATTTCTTGAAGGAATTAAATTATTATCATAAATAATAAATTTCTTCGTGTAAATTTAATTATTTTTAGTAGAATTTTTGTAAAATTTCTCGAAAGAATTGAATAATTTTCAAAAATTGCACTAAAATTCTTAAAAAATTCAATTATTTTCAAAAAATGTTCATAAAATTGAAAAGAGAAATTTTTAATTACAACTATTAACATACTCCATTATTTTAAAAGAAATTCTTCAAATCAATTACATTTTTTTTCAAAAATTTTAATATAATTCTTCTCAGGAATTCAATTATTATTTTCAATACAATTTTAATAAAATTTCTTGAAGGAATTAAATTATTATCATAAATAATAAATTTCTTCGTGTAAATTTAATTATTTTTAGTAGAATTTTTATAAAATTTCTCGAAAGTACTCAAGTATTTTTAAAAATTGTAATAAAATTTTGAAATAAATTTAATTATTTCTAAAGAAATTTCATAAAATTCAATAAACAAATTTTTAATTACAATTATTAACTGAGCCGATTATTTAAAAAACTTTTAAAAGAAATTTTTCATAAAATTCAATTATTTTCAAAATTTTCAATTGAAATTATTTAAAAAACTCCATTATTTTCAAAAAATTGAATGAAATTTAATTTTTTTCAAAAATTCAATAACTTTAAAAATTTTCAATTGAAATTAATTAAAAAACTCCATTATTTTCAAAAAATTGAATGCAATTAAATTTTTTTTCAAAAATTCAATAACTTTAAAAATTTTCAATTAAAATTATTTAAAAAACTCTTATTTTCAAAAAATTGAATGCAATTAAATTTTTCTCAAAAATTCAATAACTTTCAAAACTTTCAATTGAAATTATTTAAAAAACTCCATTATTTTCAAAAAATTGAAAACAATTAAATTTTGTCAAAAATTTTAATAAAATTCTTCGCTAGAATTCAGTTGTTTTCGAAGAGTTCGTTATCGAATTTTTCATGGTTTTATTTTTTAAAATATATTATTTTTATTACTGTTATTATTATTATTATTATTATTATTATTAAAAAATTAAATTTAGAAAATTCCTTTACAAGTGCAAATTGCAAATGCAAAGATAAGAGATTTAAAAGGATCTCCTGCTACTGTGTTTACTAGTCAGACATCTCGCAGTAGATACAGTCAGTGTAAGTCAGGCAATCATAATCGTACTACTTAAATTCTTTACGTAAGACGTCACATTGATGACTAGCTATTATTTAAAGTCATAAAATAATAATATAATACCTACCAAGATCGCGTAGATAAAATTTATTAATTTAATCAATTCTTTTATTTATAATTTTGTTTTTTAAACTATGTTTATATAATTTACGAAAATTTGAATTATTTTAATTTTATTAAATCACAATTACTTGAATATTGAAAATTGTAGGTAATTACTTAAAATTTAGAGCTTCTTTTATTCGAAATAGGGGCAAATTTTTTTTTTACTAGTGAGTTAAATTTGTCAATTTAAAAAATTAGTAAAAGTACTTCTTTAAAAATGTTTTTCAATTGTTCACAAATTTTTAAAACAGATTACAATTTTTAAAATTGTTGGTAACTGTTTTTTTAAAATAGTTTACAAATTTTTGGATTGTTGTAATTTTGTATTGTTGGCAATTTTTTCGCAAATCGTTTACAAAACTTTTTATAAAATCATTCACAAATTTTTTATAAAAATTGTTTACAATGTTTTCTTGTAAAATTTAAATAAAAACTTGATTTTATCACTCTGTTGTTATAATAGCTAAATTGTTTACAATTTGTATTTCAAAATTTATTTTTTAGTATACAAAAAAATAAATAAATATTCCTTCTCAGATATAGACATTTTAACCAAAAAAAAAACCAATCACAGATTCATAGTAGTTTTTTTCAAACTAATTCATATTTAGATGGTTCATTAATTGATTTACTTTATTAGTGAGAAAAGAAAAATTGTTTATGGAAGTCGACACTTTTGAATTTACTATATAGCAATTAATTGGTAATTTACTCAAGCTTGAATGTTTTTTCCCCGATTATTTCAAAATGTTGTTTTTCTTTAAACAAGTTTCTTTTTTAAAAAGAGAAAAAAAATTACCATTAAATTATATGCTAATAAACGATAGACTTTTTTTCACCATTTTCAAATCACTACATATTATAGTTTTGATATTGATAGGCAAAAAATTATTAACAATCTTGCCAAATGATGAAATTACTTTTTTCTTTATATATTTACTTGCATTTTGAATTTAATTTACATTACATACTTCTTATGTTAGTTAATTTAACCTTTTTTGTTGTGTTATTTGTAAAAAAAAGGTGTGTAATTTTTTTTCTTGTATTATTTAATATTTAAATTTAACTACACGAATAATCGTTATTTGAATCAATTTTAAGAGGATAAAAAAACATTTTCGATATTTAAATAAAATGAGGAGTAAAAATTTAGAAAAAAATTAAGACAAACATGTTGAGGCGAATATTTTTTTTTTTGTATCGAAAAATTTAATTTTTTAAATAATAATAATAATAATAATAATAATAATAATAATAATAATAATAATAATAATAATAATAATAATATGATGTTAAATAATAATGAAGTAGTTTTTTCCGCACGAAGTAGCAATAGGTTTTTTTTTGCAAACTGTTGATTATTAGGCAGAGAAAATCAGTTTTTGCAGATTTGTTAGAATGTTTTCGACTCATCTTACGTCTAGACACACACAAGTGTCTATGAAAAATTTTATATGATGCTACAAACACCTACGCCTAGCATCGTGCAACTATGTCGCGATTGTTGAAGCGCGTCGTTGACTTATGCGGCTATAAACTCTTACTGCATACGTGATCGAGGGCGCATTACTTAACGTCGCAAAGGTTTCTAAGGTTTATAGACGTCTTTCAGTATATATATTTCTTTCTGCCTCACAGATGTGTCCATTTATACTCCATACATGAAGTAATTTCTTCCTTTTTCCTTTTTGCGACTATTTGTCATAATTATAATTTTTTATAAATATTATAAATTTACAGTTTTCTTGAAAGTATCAAATCTGATACTATAAAGAATTCATCAAATTGATACCAAAAAATTTGTATCAATTTATGATTTAATCTACATTTCTGGCATCTGATGCCTTCAAATTAACAGTGAATACTTAAAATTATTATAAATATTTATATGAATATTACAGACTTCGCACACTCGATAATTAATTTAAAAAAAGTAGCATAGTCGCTGAATTCGAATTTCACGTTAGTTTTCAAATATTTTAAATCTGATAAATTTTTTAAAAATTCGTTAGCCATATTGGATCCGCCATTTTGTATTTTTTTAAACTAAGGACAAATTCGTATTCAGCGACCTCAAAAACCCCCTAGTAACAAGTTTCAAATAAATCTGATAAATTTTTTAAAAATTCGTTACCGATATTGGATCCGCCATTTTGTATTTTTTTAAACTAAGGACAAATTCGTATTCAGCGACCTCAAAAACCCCCTAGTAACAAGTTTCAAATAAATCTGATAAATTTTTAAAAAAATTTTCATCCATATTGGATCCGCCATTTTGAATTTTGAAAAACTAAAATGAAAGACGTATTCAGCGACCCCAAAAACTCCCGAGTAACAAGTTTTAAGTAAAGCTGATAAATTTTTATTAGAATTTTTGGAAATAATTGAATTTCCGAGAAGAAATTTATTCATTTTAAAAATAATTAAAAATAATTGAATTTTGTCTAGAATTTTATTAAAATGCCTCAAAATAATTGAATTTTCGGGCATAATTTTGTTATTTATCTTTAATAATTGAATTTTTTCGAAGAATTATTTTTGTAAATAATTAAATTCTTGGAAAAAATTTAATTCAAATTTAAAACAATATTTGAAAATAATTGAATTCCTGTTAAAAATTCTAATATTTTTGTAAATAATTGAATTCTCCCAAAGAATT